CTACACAACACTAGTACAAAACATAAATTCAGCTCAAGAGCAGGATTTATGGGACAGTGCCATGTATATATTCAACTGGAAACAGAAATCTACTGTGTTTATCAAAATAAAATGTAAATAAACAGGAAAAAGCTTGTATTACCTGAAGGACAGAGGGGGATGGGCTCTGTTAACCAAGTTGCTTTATTGCACGTCTCCCCATACAGCACATTCCTTGCTTCCTCCACCAGCCTTGCTGGTCTCACAGGAATTTAACTGGGAACCACCCTGTACAGCTCTACCATCACCCTGCAGTGTGTCCATCCATGGCTCAGATGGGATTTGGGAAAAGCTCTGCACCACTGACTCACTGCATGTTATCGAAAGGCACATATAGACAGAGGTCTTCCCTACTCCTGTGAGGCCTTACAGTAAGCACTGTCCTAGGGGTCAGAAAAGCACACTGTGTTTTTTCTGAACAAAGGCAGTAACAAAACATCCACCAAAAGCATACAGTGCTTAGAAGGAAAAGAGACATCTGTAAGGCATCTCTTTGGAAAGGATGGGAGCTCTATGAGCAAGTCTCATGCAGAATACTTGTGAAATTCTCACGCTTGCCCTCACAGGTCCAGCACAACCCCAGAATCAGGAGTGTGCACACAAGAAGATACTGCAATGCATCTGAGCCTGAAGCAGTTCTGAACATGTGGCTCAAGTTGAAGGGGAGTTAGAGCAGCAAGAGACAAGAAAAGAGCAGCTGTAGAAATAGTGTTGTGTTTCATCTGCTACTGTCATCATACATAATCAGACATCAGTACCACATGGCCACTGCTGGCCAGGAGCTGAGGGGCAGAGCAGGTTGCTCCGTTGGCTCTGTGCCCACCACACCACTGCTTCTCATCCTCCTTGGCCCTAGAAATGAGTCATCGAGCTTGCTTTTACACCCCAAACAGTCCCACCTCTCTCCCACCAGCAGGACTGAGAGAAGTCCTGCTGATGGCAGCCAGTGGTGGGGAAGACAAGACAGCAGGAGGCACTGAGCTATAATGGAGATAGGGGCCATAAAAACCAAGACAAGCAGAGTAGCTCACCCTGGGCATGACACTGTCCAAGGCAAAATCTGAACTCCTGACAGGCAACACAGTCTGAACATAGACACTTTGCTTCAAAGAGAGGCGCAGGGCACCCAACCCAGGTCTGTGATCGAAGGACCAGTAGAAAGATTGATAGCTTGAAAGTCTAGAGGATGAATTAAAAGCACCAGAGGAACTGCCAATTGCCAAAAGCAGAGAGGCTTGTTCTATTACATTTCAGCCTCCAGGGTCACAACTGGTTTCTCACAAGACAGTTATTTCGGCCACTTCGCTGATCTACATCCCTTGGTATGCAACCACAAGCACTGACAAAGACAGCCAAGGAGAAGAGGTGGGAGCAGCGAGGTAGGGCTGCAGGCATACTTCTGCCTGACAGTCTCACTGGAAGGAAACGGCAACAATTACCAAAACAATGCAGTAAATATCACTTCCCTTACGCTAAAGCTACTTTCATGTCCAGAAAAAAAAGCTTTACAAGAATGTGGCATTATTACTGCAACTGAAAGAGATTAGAGACAAAATTAACAACAGCCCCCCTCCTGTGAATCTGACAGCACTGCTGTCCCTGGAGCCTTGTGGCATGCAGGGACCACCAGCAGCAAAGAGTCCAGGATGGGGGGCATTTAGAAAAAAATAATGCATTTTGCCACCTCGTTTCTCCAGGAAGGACTCACAGAACACAGCAGCCTGGTCCCACTGTCTTCAAGGTTGGATGGGCCCTGGGCAACCTGAGCTAGTGCTTGATCTAATGGTTGGCACCACCCTGGCAGGCGTTTGGAAGTAGGTGGTCTTTGATGTCCCTTCCAACCCAAAACATTCTGTGATTCTACGAAATCTCATGGGCCCCAGCTGAGGAAGGGCCATGGGATATCAGATGTACTTGAGATGAACACAGCATTGGATGGAGACCAGCGGGCAGCCCAGATGGATGCTGAGCAGCACACCTCTCACCAAGTGATAGGTGGCCAGGAGCTCCTCATCCCCTGCTTCTTGGAGGTGCCTGACGGCAGTGCGGGGCAGGGCACAGTGACATCTGTATGCAGGTGGGTACCGGGACAGAGAGAGCGAGGCCACAGCCCAGCCCTGGTGCTTAGCAGGCAAACACTCGAGTATATAGGCAAATTAAGTTACACCAATGTAATCGCTTTGATGTGAGGCTTTAGCCGTCATTTCCTAACTCATTTTTCCTTAAGTAGGGGGAAAGGGGCTTAAAACAGAAACAGGGAGAGGCACTTAACAGAGGTTAATATGGCTTCGGTAAACAAAGGATTTTCTATCTATACATGGCAAGTAGAAGCAGACGCGCGTCCCGCAGCAGCACGGTCGGTCCCGCGACGTGGGCTGCGGCGCCCCGACCCCTCGGGGAGAACGTGGCACCATGCGAACGCACCTGGCCGCGGAAACAACTCCGCCCTGTGCCAGCAGCCACCTGCCGACCCCAGCTCGGCTCCCACGGACACACCCGCCGCTTTGCTCTGCGCCAAGCCATGCCTGCCGGCAGAGCGCACGGCCCCCGGGCAGCCCCGGCGCCCAGCACCGCCAGCCCCGGCCCCGCGCAGCCTTACCCGTGAGATGGTGAGGGGCTGCTCGAAGTCCCGGCCGCCCACAAGGCGGAAGCCCCATGGCCCGGGGCCCGTCAGCACGATGCGATGGGTTCCCATGTGCACGGCTACACCTCGCGGCACGCCCGGCAGCACCGGCTCCCCTCGCCACGGCTCTTCTCCGCTCGGCACGGCCCGCCTCCGGCCCCTCCCCTGGCTGCTCGCCCCACGGGGCTGCCTGCGCGGCTCCAGGAGGAGGACTGAGCCCTGCTCTGCCCTGGAGGCGGGGCAGCATCGCTGGCTGGGCTTCACCGGCGGTAAAAGTTTGGGGAAAGAAAAAAAAAAAAAAAAAAAAAAGTAAAAACCGTCCCGCCACAGTTTAAAGTGAGATTCTTCCTACCGCAGTTTGCAAGGCTGAGCACGTCGCGGGGCAGTCTCGGGCTGTAGAAGCGCTGCCTGCCAGCCCTAGCACAACACAGACGATTCTATGCGGGAGCGGCACCGCCGGGGTACAACTATGGGCAGCGCGGCAACCCAACGGTAGAACTAAGAAGAGGCTCCAAGGGTACCTTGGGGAGAAGAGCACCTTCTCTTTCATTTATCTCTGATTCGTTGTCGCTGTAGGCAAAATTTTCCTTTTTTTTTTTTTTCTTTTTTTTTTTTTCCTGATGCCCTTAGGGGCACAACCAAAAGGCAAAGAAAGCATTCTTCCTACCAGCCAGCAGCAGCTGAGGTAGATCACACAGGTGCTGCTTATCTCGCTGCTGGGCACAGGTGAGAAGGATCTGCCCCCTTTCTGCACACATCCTCCCTTCAGCAACGTTAATCACTTACACCCTCTCAGCCTCTCCTCACAAGATGTGCACCAGGCCCTGATCACCTCTGTAATTTCTGCTGAGCTCTTTCCGGTGATTTTGTGCCTCTTTTGTACTGGGTAAGTAGACTGGTATGGAGAGGGGCACAACAGAGGTCTTCAGTGGAGGTAGATGTCTCCTTGTGTTCAGGAACACACATGTACTTCCCCCTATGTCTTCTGGCTCTTGCTGAAGACAGCTGCTGTAGACAAACCAGGGTACCACATCCCTCTCAGCAGATGATTTCTGCCTTCTCTCCTCACTGGGGCCTGCTTAATACCACAGAGCATGGTGGAGTGCTCTAAGGAATAAGCCCCTTGCACAGGTCACAACGGGAGCTGGCGACTTGGTGCCCTTTCTCTCACCCTGGGGCAGTGGTTTCCCCACACAGAGCCCCAGTCATGCCCTCAGGGAAGTCCACTGAGGAGGGTAAGATGCTACAGCCAGGTTCCTCACCCACTCCAGGCACAACAAAGCAAGGGTTGAGATAGTGGGTGCTGTAGCACAGTGATGGCAGCTGCTCTTCTGCTTTTTCTGCATGGTAGCCTGCAAAACTGAAAAATGTTCCCAGCCCTGCTTGGAACAGCCTTCCTTCACTCTGCTCTGCAGGGATGAGTTGTTTCTGTGAGACACAATCCAGAAGTCCCAGCCAGCTGTTCTGCCAGAGGGCTGGGAGCTGTGGTATGCACACCACAGACTTTGCCTTCAGTCAGCGCTGTGGCAAGAGCTGCCTGGGTAGAGTGCAACTATTTGGCAACCTGAGGGGCTGCAATGCGACACCATCTCTTGGTGGGGTCTGTGTGGACCTGAGTCTCCCAGCCCTGCTTCCCTGAGAGTGACCAAGTACAGCACACATCAGGTTTAGGCTGCACACAAAACCAGGGCAGTAGGATGAGGCTGGAGGAGAGGCATTAGCAGGGAGTTAATATCCTGGAGAGCAATCACCCCACTGAAGGTGCCACTTATTGACTCCTGGGCTTCATGTCCTCTTCACACTACAGAACTACCACAAAAGCAGCAATGGGCACCAGAGGTCAATAACTGAATGCAGAGGACACAGCTGCCGCCTGCCATCCTAAGAGAGGGCCAGGGGGTAAAACTACTGGCAAAGGCACGTCTAACTTCCATAGGCACAAGGGCAGAGAAGAATCTGAACACTGTGAAGTTTCTGCCTTTGCAAAAGGCAGTTTTCTTTTCACCTTTGCAAAACACTGGGATCAGGTGTGCTCCTGAGCTGCCAGCTCTGCACCCTGACCTCATGTTACTGAGGGATCGGATGTAAAATGTTTTTTTTCTCTGCTTTCACACCTTGTTTTCTTCAAGAATGAGCCACAGCCTGCCTGGCTCGTAAGAGAGCCCTGGTGAGGTAAAGCCAAGGTGAGAGCAGGATCTGGAAGCACGGGATGGCAGATGTCTACAGCTCAGAATGGCCACAGCCACTGAGAGCCACAGACAGCACTGGTACAAATGTGCATTGCTACAGGAATAGCGGGAACAGGCTTTATTTAATAATTTGTACAACAAACACAATAGTAATTCAATACTTCCATTTATTAATTGCCAAATAGTAATCCACTGCAATAAGGAACAAAAATCAACACAAAAATAAGTTGTGATGTGTGTGTGTGTGTGTGTGTGTGTGTGTAACTTAAAATGGCAAGAGCGAGAACAGAAAATAAACCTTTAAATGAGTAGGTTATATACAGTCAGTATTATTGTGTTACTTTGCTGGATAGATTAATTTGGTGCTGTCCAATCTTAGCAACAGCCTATGTCTTGCTATGAATAACTGAAAGAAAAAACCAAAGCAGAAAAAAAACATAAATAAGATGCAGAATTAATGATATCTCCTATTGAAGAGCAGTCAGTGGTCAGTGGTCAGTGTCATATCTGAAACTCTTTCATAGTGGATATTTTGTGCTAAAACTCTTTATATGAACACACACAGAATTCCATCATTTAAATAAAAGTGGAATAAAATTCCAACCTCTGACAACTGCCTTTCTTTTTCTCCCTTCGCTCAATGCGTTTAAATTATTTTTCTATACAAGGTAAGTACATTGTCTGTACAAAGTTAAATATACATATTTACAGTCAAACTTCTGAGACACTGAGTCTTCTCCTCCGCAGACTGAGACGGAAGACAAGCCTACTTGATTTCAAACCCAGGAGCATGGCTAGTTTATCAAAACATATTGCAAGTCGTGCTAACAGTTAGTTGTAGTTACTCTTAATAAATCTGTATAAAAGCATCAGCATAAAAATAGGCATTTTATATTATTAAATACGGCTTATGACAAAATAGCAATCTAACCTTTTGCTATTTGTATGGTAACTGTAGGAAGCAGAGTCTGATAGAACTGGTTTTGTTTATACTTCTTAATAACAAAGTGTCTATCAAAAGAGTATTTGTAGTGGATTTACAGGCAAGCCACGTTTTTTTCCTCAAAGAAATACAAATCTCTATGACTGGTAACAACCGCTGTAAACACGGCTTTCCAAACTGAGCAGACTTTTTTGTTGGACTAAGGGCCAGTCAAAATGCAGGTGTTTATTGGATCTACCATCTACACTGCAAGAACAACAGAAAAAGGCACCTTCAAAGGCATGTTTCTCAGACTTATCAGAACCTCTGACATTCAATGCTAGAGAAGCAAAGCCTTCTTCCCAAAGAGCATGCTTCAACTCTTTTTGGGCCAACAAGGGGGAGCAGAGAAAGCAAACAGCCGTAGGACTCATAAACAGGATTTGCTCTCATGGATGTTCTGTTTATTGGTTTTATTCTTTGTGCAGATAAATGTCAAAGCCAGGTTGTTTTCTCTTTAAAAAAACATTACTCAGTTCGTTTTGCTGCACACAGTACACTCACACACACACACACACCCTGCACAAAAGAAAAAAACCTTGCAGAAGTGGGTAATGTGTTAGGAAAGGGTTTGGGCTTTTTGCGTGTCTGCAGTACACTTTGGCTGACACCTCTGGATTAAACTTCCAGTCCCAAACTCCTTCTCAACAGAGTTCTGCAGTTTAACCACACTGGCTGTCCTCTGCCCATACGGGGTCTTAAGGTGCATGGCATGAAGGAAGGGAGTTCTATGGGAGTGGAAGGCAGAGCACAGTAAGCCTTCAGCAAGGCAGGAAGCCTGGCCTCCCTGACCTCACCAGTGAACGGAGAAGCTGCAAGGTCACGTACTTTCTGAAAGTACTGTCATATCTTAACACACAAACAAAACCTATACCTTTTGCTTCCCTGAAGCCTTCTCAGAAGTAAAGTACTCCATACGAATTAAGGTTATCACCAGAACTCTTGTTGGGGAGGGGAGAGGAATACACAAAGGCAGCACTGTAAACTAGAAACTGTCTCTCCTTCAGCAAACAAATCATACCCTGAATTAGTAGAAGCAGGGCTACACATTCAACTCAATACTGTACCACATAACCACATCCTCCTAACACTTTTCATCTCTTGTCTATTACATTCATAAATTGTCTCTTTCTTCATTGTTTAAAAACACCATCTGAAAAACAGCTCCATCTCTGTCACTGTGGGATTACTGTTACTTTACAGGTACAGAAGCTTCACATAGTTGCCTGGGAAGGTGCCGAATTGCCTCGTTCTCCTGGATGTACCTATAGCAAAATAAAAGACAAGGAAGCCAGAGTGAGATGGAGCCATCCAAGGAAGGCTTAGGGGTTTAAAAGGTCAAGATGGCAGCCCCTGCTGCTTGCATTCATTGTTTTATAAAAATATATAAGAGTCCTGGTCAGAGAGCCTTTTGGTATAGAAGAGATCAGAACTAGTCTGCTAATAACCATCTTTGGTCTTTGGTTCTAACAATGAAGAAGGTGGTGGTGACAGCTCCTGGTCATGTACGCTAGGAGCCAAACTTTGATCTATTCAAATGATCTCAGCTTCCTTAAGAAGCTGAGGACAAGCCTAGATTTGCACTGTTGAGATGGAGAGCGCTGTCCAGACTTACGTTACTTGAAGCTGCAAGACTTCATTTAGTTTAGACTACCATGTTTAGTTGAGGCTGGATTTCTAGAGACTGCAACTCCAATACAAGTGCTCCTTCTGCCCCCTACTTGCTACCTTCTGTAACTTGTCATGACTCCTTTGAAAAGGCACAGAAACCCACTTTTCCTTGATTCTCTCTGCTGCTCTGCAAACTGTGTGAGCAAGGAGGATCAGGAGGAAGAAGGGAATATGGAAATTAAAAGAAAAAAAAATTTGAAAACCTGGACATACAGAAAGAAAAACAAAGTTCCACTTCCCTGCACCCTAATTTTAATGTTCTCAGTAAGAGAAGATGAGAAATCATCAAAAAAGTTAAGTTGATTTTTTTCCATTCTGTTTCAATCCTGCAAATGAAAGCAGCTTCTAGATGCTCTGCAAAAATACTCATCTGCATCTCAAAGGCTCCTGCTGCCTGGCAAGCATCACACTTACCCACAAACCAGCCATCATCACATTTCTCCATAACATCAACAATATCACCATCCCTCAGTTCCAGCTCATCATCATTCTGAGGAGTGTAGCTGTATAGAGCTTGGTAGCTAACTCTAGAGTAGAAAAATACCACACGTTAGTCACTGGATTTTGTTCAATACAATCTGGACCTGTATTCCCCATTTAAAAGGTGAAAGCCACTCACATTAGATTGACTGTTACCACAAAGCTATAGCAGGAATCAGTGTCACACCTGCACTGCATAGGATGCGCAGAGCACTTTTGTTTCCCTTGTAGACCATAGACTATAGTGACTGCAGCCTTCCTAACATGCTACACCTAGAGACCAGACACCCTACAAATACAAGCCAAAACCTGAACACACTCATTACTTGTCTAAATGAGACTTTCATTCCCTTGTCAGGCACACAGGCAGGGCCATGAACTGCTAAATGGCAGAGTGAAGGTCTTGAGAAAAATACACTGCCTTGTTTACTGCACTAAGGTTGGATAAATCCTGGTTAAGGAGGCACAAAGTTTAAGATTGAATCCTGCTCTGAGGTAATTATTGCTCCAGAGGCACTCTGTAATTATCTGAAAGGAATCTTATGAAGTGGAAGAAATCTCTGGGCAAGTCCAGATCCCCTGGCTGTGGGGAGTGAAAATAGAGCGGATGCAAGAGTTTCCATTCTGCATAAAGATAGGGAAAAGCAAAGGCTCCTTTTAGGAGCCAACTGTCACTGAAACCCAGTACAGTGCAGGCTCCTATTCTCAAAACCAACAGTGAAATGCCCTAGCGAGATTAATGGCAGCTCCAGGTTTAAACTCAACATAGAGCTTTGAAGATCTTAGCCTGGCTCTCTCATATCATTCAGCCACTAATTCTTTCCTGGACCTCGCACAAAGTGACCAACCTTGGGACTTCTCACTATGCCATGAGAAGCTAAGAACAGGAATGAACATGCTGACCCATGGCATATGAGCCAGATTAGTGCATGTTAATTCACCTCCAGCTTCAGATACAAAGACACTGAAACAGTCTCCGTAAACAGCATAACTGAAATGCCCAAAGGAGACCCAGTCTTGGAGAATAAGGCCAGTGCTCCACATGCTATACAGACACAAACATCCCACTTAGATAGACTTCTCACTATTATGAGGCTATTTCTGTTCTGCAAAGAAAAGCACTAAGCAGTCACTCTTCCACAATCTGAATTTAACACCTGAGATGCTGAAGCTTTCACACATCCCCATCCTCACCATCAGTATAAGTCAAGGCCCCTGGAAGAGAGGGGAGCCAAAAGGACTTACATGTCTCGTGGTGTTTGACTTCTGTCAGGGCTGGCTCCTTGCTGCTGTGCTTGAGGTTGCTGAGAAATGATGAGAGATGGTTTATGGTCATTAGAGGTCACCTTGTTGCGAGAGTCAAGAGGCTGAGAAATAGTACTGCAGTAATGCACAGACTTTTCTGCAATGTTTATGATCTCATTGCAAACAGCTTCCTGCGTGGTAGGCAGCATTGACATCCAAAAACACCCAAAGAACAGTCAACAAGGGGGGAGGGAAGGGAAAATATAGACAGGAAGAGATGGGACATTCCAGATGCAGTACATAAGTCCAGTAAAAAAAAAAAGAGTTGTAGATCCAGGTAAACATCCAGGTAGTGGAGTGCAGAAGGGATCCAGGTGTAAGCATGGAAAAACAGGTGAGATATAGAAGAATTTGGCATTTAGTTTGAAGATTTGTAACAAATACATAGACATATATTTTAAAAAGCAGCAGCATAAGAGGTTGCAATTAGATCTGCAGTGGTACTATTACAAATGCAATGAGGTCAGTTCAAGAATGCAAGGTGGGCTGCTCCATTCATGCATTTGGCTTCATTTAGCTTATACCCAGGGACTGGCAGCACAATTAGCCCAACTTCTCATTGATTATGGCAGTTTTTCTAAGTGCTACATTCCCTTCTTCTATTGCAAACAAAACAATGTATTAATAGGTAAATAAATACCTATTTCACAGCTAAAAATGGTGCTGGTATTTTATAATCTATTGAGATGTCCCTGTCTTGGTGAAGAAAGGCTAGGACTACACATCTGATTGAAACAGTAGCCTTACCACATAGCTCTTTTCAGACTCTGTGAGATCTGGTCCAGCTCTCAATGAATGGAGGGAAGGCTGTGTGATCACCAAGCAGATGATAAGGAAGACATTTTAGCAGATGTGATACTGGTCAGAATTTAAAAAAATAAATGGTGTGCAGACAACAAAAGAAAATGAACAACTCTTCCCCTCCCCATCCCAATACCACTCTTTTTGGACAACAAGATCTTTCATTTAAACAAGACATTAGGGCTACAGTAATGCAATTACACTGCAGCGCACAGAATATTGCAAAGAGAAGGACAGCAAAACAGAAGCTTAGAGCACAGAGCCAAAGGATGAGCTAGAAGATCATGGACAGGGCTACAACCAGAACTGATACATAGTGTCACATTGCATTCCTGTGGTTGGGAGGGTGGGGGAGCGGGGCCGACAAGGACAGAAATACATACTTGAGGGCACATAACCCACTGAGAAGAATCTGCTGCTGTTTTTAGCTAAGTCCTTGGTGACTCTGACACAGGGAAGAACAGTAATTTGCTTGCTTCTTAAATAAAGACCAGCTCAGGTCCTCAGGAGGCACGATGCAGTGTAGCCCCATCAAAATCACTCTAGTTTGTACCCCACAAGGATCTGAGCTGCAACATTAATTCCCAAAACAAAGCAGAGTTTCAGGTTAGAGGAGGCTGACTGAAAGCCTAGCTCCAAACACCATCCAAGAAGCTTCTGGACTCCTTTTCTCCCCAGTCAATCCTCTTCACAGGAACTCCCATATCCCAGGTCACAGATATCCAGAACATGGTTTTTTTTAAGCATGATTCTGCATATTCAAACACAAGAAGAATGCTGTGTGCATGCTCTAGCAAATGAGATGCCTGAATGAGTGCAGTTCTGGTAATTCAAGCAGTACTGATTAGAACAGGTAAGATACAGAGCAATACCATCCTCTCTGATAATCCAATACAGTATTCATCCCAAACTCCACATGCCTCCATTTTTATGCTTTCCCATACTCTTCATTTATTTCATCAGTGCCATTCATTCTGCTCAAAGACGTGGCTGCACCACTGGCTTAGGAAAAAGCTTGTGAGCTCATAGCATCCTGAGGCAGCACAGAAGCTGAGGAGAAAGACAACTGACACCTTCAGCCCAAGCATGCACAAGGAGTCTGGAGAAGCATAGGGTGATGAGAGGTATTTCCCATTCTCAAAGCTCCTGTGAACCACCTCTTGGATCTCTAGGACTGTGTTCATCACTGTACTAAAGATAATTGACTCTCTTCTCAAAGACTGTGATCCGCTCTATGCCAATCCAACGCCACAACTCCTTCTTCGTAAGTCTTGCTGTCTTGGGCTGGAATCTGGGTTCGGTGCCTTAAAACACAATGCTCTATAACCATGTGCATAGTGTGAAAAATAAAATAAGAGAGAAAATAAAATGTAATTTGGATAGGCTAAATGGGGAGGAATTTGCCTTCAAAGCATTTACTGTGAAGCCTGAAATCACAGCAGAATATACAGAAGTCATTCCTGTCTGCCTATCATCAGTTCTGAAGGGCTAATAGCATAATTAGAAGTTTAAAATTAATATTTTACAGAGCAACAGGATATAGTGCATCAAATCTGATAAGATCAGAGTTAACCCAGGCGGTGAAGTATCTGGAAAAAACAATTTCCATCATGAGGTGAAAGGTAGCTGTAAGAACGACTTCTTTTTAATTCAAGAAAGTGCTTATTTGTTCCTCACTAATAAATTGACTGCTGCAATTGCTCCATGAGCTTAAGACCATGCTGTCCATTTCTCACTGATTATTTGCGACCTCTCAGACGAGCTTTTCTCTAAAAAGCATTAACAATTCTGAAATAAATTACTTATTTGAGAGCTAAAGAAATTAGCACTACCTCGGAATGCTCCACAATCCATCAGGGCCCTCAGCTCCCACCCTCTGGGTCACACTAAGTACTTTGCTAATACTTAAGTGTTTCTGCCTCCGTCCTACACAAACGTGGTATAGCCAGTTCCAAAGCACAGCTGGCCACTGTTTCCACCTTGTACAGAGTTTGAGGATGGATCTAAAGAGCATCACAGGTTTGTAGAAATACCAGAAAGATGTTCTATGTAAAGAGCCTAGAAAGGTCCTGAGATAGGTTTTGTACTCTTAGGAAGAAAGATCCTGGGACGACTCAGCAGCAGTTCCCCTGTTCCTAGCAGAGTCATCAGCGTGTCCAACCAACCACAGCAGCACTTGTTTGTATGTCTTCTTCCAACATGTTTCTGGTGTGAGTCAAAAGGACTACATCAGCAAAAAGAAAGCTAAGCAGAACAGACTGACATGACACACAGAAAGAGGCAGAGACACAGGCATCCCTTCAGAGATGGGCATGCAGTAGGGCTGCTCCTGCACATGGATGGAGAGCCATGAGCAGAGAAGACTGCCAGTCCTCCAGAGTGAAGGAGAACTGCTGCATATATCAGATCCCAGCTCTGGTGGGAGTGAGGGAAAAGCTGGCCCAAGAGCTCTCACAAAGGGCACTGAAAAGCTTGCTGTGCACTGCAGCCAGCTGTAAAGGCTGGCAGAAACAATGGAGAGACTCCTTGGCCACTGGATTGGGAGCCAAAGGCTCACACATGTGCTAGCACCATTTGACATTTAATATCAAGTTTCACTGGAATACTGAAAAAACATCTGTTAATTACACTTGCCATATTTTTCACATGCTATGGGCTTGCTCTTTTATCTTTTTTTCTGATCAGTTTGAACTGTGAAACTAAGAAAAGGGAATAATTTTATAATATTTAGAAGAGCCTGTGCTCTTTACATTACTGCTTAGTGGAACAGGCAAGAACACAGCCTTTAACCCAGCTCTGCATCTAAGCGGTCTTAAAATGACAAGAAACCCGGGTTTGAATTTCATAACCTGAGAGATCATCTTTTACGAGCAAAATATGACATTTAAAACAGTACAATACCTCAAACCTCAGGGACAGACAGTATTGAAAACGAAGCCAAATGCAACGGCTCGCTTGCACGTCTACTAAATGCTCTTCTCATTTAATTAAATTCAATGGAAAGAAGATAGATTTTGAAAATGCCCCCGGGTCTGCTGAAGCAATTGGCCTCTGTATGGGTCATGCAGGTAATGGGAAGTCATTATATGTGTATATATGTATATACAACACCACTACTGCTCCCCAGTAACTGCAGGCCCAGAGCTGGAAAGGAGGTCAAGGCCGGCAGCTGTCAAACACAGCGTTAACTTGACACTGACAATGGGCTGATTGTCAACGCACACAACGTATAAAATGTGCCTTGACTTTAACTCCAAAGAAGTGCTACAGTGTCCCATTGCGACCAGGTGCAGCACCCGAAATAGAAGTGCATGAGAGACAGCATGGGACATGAGGAGAGTAAAAGGAACAAAAATTTCAGAGTTAAAGCCAGATCTCAGTCTCACGAAAGTAAGAACACTGGCATCTACTTCCCACACTCACTCAGCAGAATACGGTTCACTGATGAAGCCAAGACTGCTACCCCCAAAACCATCACTAGAACTCTGCCTGGCTTTTGCTAACTGTGAACTTTCTGCTTCACACACTGCCATCGTGTGGGGCTGCGGGGAAGGACTGAGAGCCTCCAGCAGTGAGCGCTGCTCCCTCCTGAGCCGGCAATGCTGCACAGACACAACTCTGTCCCTCCCTAAAGATGACTGCAGGTGTCACAGAATCACAGAGTCATTACAGATGGAAAAGACCTCTGGAATCCCCTTGTCCAAACGACAACCCATCCCCACCATGCCCAATAACCATGTGCCTCAGTGCCGCATCCACCCTTTGCTTGAACACTGATTCCAGCACCTCCCTGGGCAGCCTGTTCCAATGTGCCACTCTTTCTGAGAACTTTTTCCAAATATCCAAACTGAACCACCTGGGAAGGCTGAGACAGGTCCCCAACATTGTGGACATCAACCTGAGTTGTCCTGTTGCAGTTCTGAGACACTCTGGCCCTGAATCCCGATCTCAGGAAATTAAACAATACCTGAATGAAAGTACCACAGGTGATGCTGTTCCTGCTAACAAGGAAGGCACTGATATTGCCTTAGAATGAAATTAAGCTGTAGAAACACAACGTCAGAAATAATCAGCAGCTGAAGTACTAAAAGTTCTGAGCTAATCCTTCAGAGGAACAGAAAATCAGATCTCCAGCTGGTACAAACTGGCAGAAGCTCACTGACCTGCAGTTAGGTGGATTTGCACCAGAAGATTTTGTCCATACCTGCCCTTCTGCACAGCCTGGAAACTGTTTAAATTGCTTGCCTTTTTCTTTTTTTTTTTTTTAAATAAAATGCTTAATTAAATGACAGGAGAAATATTGTGTGTAGAATTGTTGAATGGATAGACAAGCATATGATAAAACAATGGCATGGCATGGAAACAACTGTAAGCAATGGAAGAGTAATCAGCAAAGATGATTACCTGTGGCTTATTGACTCTACGTGTAAGTCTGGGAGGTGGCTGTGTTGTGACAGTAGAGGAAGAGAGGGCAGAGGAAGAGAGAGGAGCAGGTGAAGAGAAAGCTTTTGAGTCTGCAGTCTTTTGAAGAAAAGAAAAGTTCATCAGCTTGACATACACACTCTTATCACAGTCATTGGTAGTGATAAGAACACCTGCTATGCTGTAAGATTTGATGCACACACAGCAAACATAACTCCATGCAAGGGCAGATGCAGTTTCCTAGTTGGTTCGTTAGACCTTACCACTTCATTCTGCTTAAAACATGCAGGTTATGCCCGTAGAAAGCACTGCTAAAAATATATGCAGTCAGTAAACAGCATAGTCTTAATACAGCTTTCAATATGCTTCTGGTTATGATTCGAGCAGAAATCAAACAAGTTGTTTGAAATCAAACAAGATTTCCCAGTGTGAAATGTGTCATCGTAGAAATCACAGTCCCTCACTATTTAACACTGGCTAGATGGGATACGTCATGGAGGCAATCACATTCCATCAAGAAGCTGTTTGTAACACTATGATTTTGAGCTCCCCAAATTCCCACTCCTGTACAAGTTAGCACGGAAGTGTTGTAATGTAGTTTGGATGGCTGTAGCCCATAATGGACACTAAGACAAGCGAGAGCTACAAAGTAAGACAGATCTCCATAAACCAAGACCGAGGACAGAAAATGTTGCAGAAGCTACTAGAAGGTTCCCTTATCTTCCTTCCTGTAACATATGCCTACATATACCTAAATACTCTTGGGAGTATTACACATGGAACCTTTTCATGCAATTTTCAAAATGCAAATTTAATAAATTCCACTCAAAGCACAGATAGCAAGCAAGCCTCCCTGACTTAGCCATGCACATCCCAGACTGGGAATCACTAATCCACAGTCTCCAGGATCATCCATTCTGTATTTCCTCAACAAGGCATAGCTTTTGTGGTTCCAGAAGCCAGGCTGACTTTATAAGATATTTCAGTGCTTGGCTTTACGGGGAAGGAATAAATCCCACCACCAAAGATGGTCCATTGCACACTGGAAAATCTTTAAATAGCAAATAATTGCTTGTATTCTAGATGGTGAAGTACATGAGCAAGAGGCCTGTATGACCCTTTTATCTGACTCTTTTATCTAGTAATAGCTGTTGTCTGGCATGGTCACCTTGTTAGATATGGCCAATTGAGTCAGTTCTGTGCTACACTACTCCTGAGCACTCTTCTGAAGGTTTCTTATCTACTGCCCAGGGAATGCCACTGGTGAACCTTGGAAGAAGGTCTTAGGATCATTAAAAGTACAAGTGCCAGCCACTGGCTCTGCCTGCATGGCAGAGTAGCACAAACCTCAACACACCGGTAAAGTCAGGCATTCAGAGTAGTGCACACACATGCAGGAGAAGTACCTTCTTTTCCCCGCCTTGAAACTTCCCCAGATCACCTCTCCTCGTGCCTCTTTTCTCTGCTTTACCTCCCTGCACAATAGCCATTAGCTCCTGACACAACTGGTTGTCCTCAGAGGAACTCACAGGTCTCCTTTCTGGGCTTGCACGCATGTCTAGCTGGGATGGTTTCAGACAGCGCTCCACAGAGATGTTGGGAGCAGCATGGGAACCCTGCTCAGGGTTGCTGCTGCCCTCTCTAGTCTTCTGGAGCCAGGCCTGGCTGCCAGGGGTGCCGTGCTGCTCTGTGAGGATGCTCTCAGGGCTCCCGCCTGCCCAGCGAGGGCAGGGAGAAGAGGAGCCACCAACCTTCTCTTTGCTTTGCGGAGCAGCCAGGTAGTAACTGCGAGCGGAGGGCTGAGGCCCAGATGAGTAAAAGGGCAAGGGGGATTTAATGGACCTTGGAGTTGAGGAGCCAGAGAGATGAGAATAGGGGAGGCTGAACGAGGGGGAAGGGCTGGCTACAGTAGGAGGTGAGAGAGAGTCAGTGTGGGAGAGGGAGGCTTCAGGCAGAGAAGGCAATGGAGCAGTTAAGGCAGGAGTGGTGCTGGGAGACACTCCCACAGTCAGAGCAATCCACTCGGATGTGACTGCCTGCACCTCTGGAGACAAGGCACGGCGTGAGAAAGGCAAAGGCGGAGGAGTTGGTGTATGGAGCAGCTCAGAGCTGGGAGACTTGAAGGAGACAAAAGCAGAAGAGAAAAAGAAAGAAATGAACAAAAATAAGAAAGGAAAATAAAAAAAAACTATTGAACAAAAGCAAAAGAAAGTGAGCAAGCATGAAGAGGAGCAGATCTACAACCAAGCACATGCCTAAGTTCTCCATGGACAAGTGTACCCTGGAGACAGCTGGAGAATCTGCTGTCCACAGCTGCTCCAACCATGGAGTCTTGTCCATGTCTGTATTGGTAATACCTTTCTCCAGCCTTTGCCAGGATTCCAGATGTCTTGTGGAAGACCTTATACTTCTTACTGTTAATCCTAAGTACCTTAAGGAGTAGCTAAAATCACCATCCATGATGGCAGCATACAGCATCTGACTGGCCTAGCAGTAACACAGGGGACTTTGGCAGCTCACATCATGGAATCAGTCAGAATTCATAGCTGCAATGAATTTTGAGTTTATCCAACCTTACATTGAATAACACCTACCCCTCAAGAAATTTGCATTGCTGAAGCTGTGGAGGAGAAACAAATTAAAAGCAAACAAACAAAAAAAAACAACCAAACAAACAAAAAAAAGAAACAGCTATGGCTATTTGGTCTTTGGCTGATTAAAGTCCTGTGTTTATAAAGGCAGAACACAGGTTCAAAGTCTGCCCTTGGCTGTTGCCATCAGTGAGACCAGCTACGTGTACAGAACTGATCACTGTTTCTCAGTCCTCTGCCATGTCAGACAAAAAAAGTAAGGAAGAGAACTGCTCTACTCCAAGGGAATCAAAAGGATAGTTAAGGAAACCAAAAGAGGTTGGATATAATCCCTTCCATCAAAGAGAGAAGCTTGCAGAGAGCTAGTGGCAGACAGGCCACAGCTACACAGTGACAGCCAAGCTCAAACAGAAAAACATGGCTGTAGACCACTTCAACAGCAAACCCCAAACAAGCAGCAAGCCTCTCCTCTTTACACAGTGGCTAATAACAAAAGCACTCTTTAAGGGAAGATCCAGATAGACACCATGCAAAAGCCATGGCATCCTGTACTGTATATACTCTCCTCCTGATCTCAAGTCTCCACTTTAATTCCTTGCAGTCTTGACCTCAGAATGGCCTTCCATGGTCCTGTGACACATCAGAACCTCATGGCCCCACTCCAGACACATATGCTGACATTTGAGCATGAGTATTTGCAGAATGAGAGCAAAACATACAGATTTAGAGACTCATTGCCTCCCCAATACATATTCCACGGCAAACGTTCTGGGACTCTTAGATTCCCCCTGCATTTATCTGTTGCCATTTTGATTTCTGGTTTGAACTGTAGCAGAGCTTGCAGTTAATCCAGTAGTCGTGAAAAATCCCAGGTTAGCTTGCTCTCTGAACTTGAGTTCACTTAGTACCAGTCACAAATAATACAGAACACTCTTGTGACTCTGTCTCCTAAAACCTTGGTCCTGACCTGGAACATTTTGGAGTAAGGGTCCAGCTTGATTCAAGCTGTTTGCAATCAACCATAGTGACTGCACCATAACAGTCCATGATGCCCTGGAGGTCTGTAAACACCCCAGAGGGGAAGCTGGATCACCTATATACTCATTCCGTTTCTGGCAGTGAAATCACAGCCGTTTCACCCTGGCCTGAATTAAAACTATGGATAAGTGAGGAAAAGCTCAATCTCTAAATCTCTAACTGACCCATTAATTAACCTTTCTGGTAAATGAAACATCACCTTCTCTTGCAGGGAGCACTTAGGCTTTACTGCAGAGAATACCAGTGTTAGCTAGAGCTTTTTCCAGCTACTATTTCTAGCACAGTAATGGCAACATGCCCCTGTTGTGCAAGCTGCGTTTACTGGCTGCGTCTAGTCCAAATACCTGTGGTGAAGCTGTCACGCTGCGGTTAGGGGAGAGTGACACAGGTGGGTCTGGATATTCAATGGCATTCTTGACCACTGGCCGTTTGAGCACTTCCACATAAGTTACAGGGAAGATGCCTTGGCGACTGGTGCCAGAGATTCTTCCTTCATACCAGTTCTCATCCACTCGTCGAATCAACGTGATCCTTTCACCCTGTTGAAAGAGCGGCAATGAAGTCAAAACAGATTACATTTTTAATCTTGCTGCAATCGACTTAAAACAATCTGTGGCTCTCAGCCTTCCTTATTTCCCAGTTATGTAGTCCTTACCCTAACATCTGGGTGGGAATGATACTCTTCAGTTCAGAGAAGAAAGAAACATAGACCCTTTGGTGCACTTTTTGGACTGCCTACAGGTTATGTTCATCTCACATTTTCAAGACTATGCATACTAAAGTTAGTTTAAAAATGGAAAACAGAGGTTGTAGTCTGACTGTGAGATCCTTTAGGGGTATGAGAGGTACGTGGAATATGCACAGGTCTGCAGTTTAAACCAGATCTCTCTATGCCCTCTCTCTTATTTTGCTGACAAATGAAGTGACTTTCAGATCCTTAATACAAACTATAAGCCCCGCCTTCACACATAATTAAAAGACAGCTGACAAGATCTAATTTGAGCATCATGATAACAGGATGCTGGTTGAAAAAGAGAAATTCTGCTGTTTAAATGTGTTTGACTGCACTGAACAGTCATTACAGAACTAATTCCTATTCTGCGACTGCAATCAGATCTAGGAAGTCACTTCAGCATGACAGAATATCGTCTGCCTTGCCTCGTTTAATGACTTGGTTTGTAGTGCGAGGGAAGGGGAATCTGGCTTTCCTCTTATTGAATCACCATTCTCACAAGACTATGTGCACCTCCACTGGAGAGGATCATACTGCAGACATGTCATCAAATATTTAATTTTCTTTGCACAGCCCAGCTTACAGCATTTGCACTCCAAGTATCTTCTCAGCTAAACCTAAGAAAGCAATTAGCACTTCTTGATTCAGCTGATCTGCAACACTCTCATCACAATACACAACAGTAGGGTAAAAACATGGGTGATGAGGGTGAATCCTTGACAAAAAGGTTGATCTTACTGTCATTTGGACAGTATTCCATCCATTTGGAAACAGAAAGTTACTGGCATTACAAAACTTTTGTCTGGACTCAATTCATCAGTGCAACTTAGGTCTTACCTTTCTGAAAGACATTTCTACTTGAGTATCACCATTGAAGTTGAACTTAGCAATAGCATCTCCATATTCCAATACTTGCAATGGTAATGGCTTTTTGGGCTGAGCTTTCTCAGCTGGTGGGAGAAGCTAGAATGAACAAACAAAATCAAGAGAGTTGCATGAAAAAAGCTCATGAAATCATCACTAGCAAAAAGGGAATGGGCAAAGAGAACACCTCCAGGGTAAGCAGCTACCTCTATATAGGATCGTGGGAAGATGCCAACTCTGCCATGGTGTTCACCTTCATACCAATTCTGGTCAATCTGCTTGTAAATGTAAACAATATCTCCTTTTTGCAGAGGAAGTTCCCTGTTAACAACACAAGTACTCCATCAGAATTCCACTGGAGATCAGATGGGTTCTTTTTCTGTTCAGCAACTCCTAAGTAACAAGATCTGCAACATCCCTATAGATACACATCATGCTCCAATCAAAGTGAAGGCTATATGTTGAGAATTACCCTGTTCACACCATCATGTGCAAAGAACTCTCTTGCTCTTTGTGTATTCTGTTAAAAAAAAAAAAAAAAAAAGAAACAACCAGACTTATGACCCTACTGACTACACATCCTTCCAGCAGCAGTGGGGTCAAACTCAAGCAAAAGGTGCCACTGGCTGCTCTCCATGTTGGATATAGTGGGAGGACTGGAAGCTGTGCTCAGTTCCTGCTTCAAAACTGGTCATGACACAAGAGCCTTCCAAAATGACACAAGATTTTAATGGAAGGTTGTTTAGTGATTAGATGAACCCTCAAACACACAGAAGTTGATTCTGTGAATATTACACTTGGGTCAGCCAGTGGCTGTGCAACCACTGACCTCATGTGGGATAACAGTTGGGATTTGAATCCAGAGTCTTCAGTGCTAGAATTGTGAAGAAGGTACTCATATTGTAGTCAGCTTGTACTAGGCTCATAAGCCTACTGTGTGGTTCCCGATGGAAAAACAAGCAACCCAGACTTTCCTATCACAATTTTCACAAGCTCTGCTTTACTTTTGTCTGATACCTCGCATGTTCTCCTCAAGGGACATAATAGTTAGCCCTTGCATTTGCTTCAGTTTTTCTGCAGGTCCTGGGGTCCAATGCTTTGTAAATCATTATAAATCATCACCTCTAGACATATAACAAAACCATCCCAGGGCAGCACCTGAGCAGAAAATCAGTCACTCATTTACTGAATTCTGTTCTTTCTTCCTTTCCTAGCAATGTTAAAATGAGACCCTCTCAAGGCTTGCACAAGATTCATACTATTTTTCCCTGCCCTGCTGCAGACACCTTGCTTGGGCTGAGTACTGAAATGTGAATTCTAATTCTATGAAACTTCATAAATGCAGCATCCTTGAGGAAAAGACAGAAGAAGAACAGTAAAAGCAATAGGAACAAGTTATACTCACTTCAGAGTCTGTGCTTTGAAGTCAAACTTGGCTCTAGCAGGTCTCATCTAGAGATCAGGAAAAAAAAAATCAACACAAAGATAATAACCAGGTTTTCCATCCTCTTCTGAGGAGCAACACGCCAAACTCTTCTACAGCTAGCATTAGTCTAGGGATGGAAATGAACACAGGTGTTCTGCTACAAGCTTATGTGCAACTGGTGCTACACTGTAAATATGTTGGATGGGTCACTGGGCCTCTTACCAGGGCAAAAAGTGCCAACTTGTGGTATAACAGCACTTAAATAGGACTTAACAGCAGCAAATCTTAAAACGTGACCAATGCTGGTGAATAAAAGCTGCTTCAGTAACTACAGTTACAGAGGCTCTGGGACTAAATTCCCCTCATGGAGAGGATCGGTGTGCAAAATTCACCAGCTGGCAAAAGAAAAAGGTAGGATTTTATTTGATGTGGCTCCTTACTGATTATTATCTGGCCCTGCTGAATCCTGCAATGTGGTCCAAGTAGAATTGGTAGGAAAGAGACAAAGGTGAGAAGGAAGTATAAATAAATAAAATGTGTTCATTAAAAATGTCTTCAGTAGCTATAAAGCCAAAGAGGACATGCTGAGAGCAGGCCTAGGCTTTAAAATTTCATTTATCTGGCTCATTTTCTAATTGCCACAGAACATTTGGACAATTTTCAAGTCATTCTGGTAATGAAGCGTAAAATAAGTACTAGTTGCTTTATAGAGTGTTTGAAATGACATAAGCAAAGGGCAGAAATATATAACCTATCCAAATGGTGATCTCCTCGCCTACCGCCACACTGCACCTCTGGGGAAACAAAGCAGCTGTAAGAGCCACAGGAGCATCCCCTAAGGCAGGAGGTAGCACCTGGCCAGCACACCTGGCCCAGCACCCAGCCCCAGGGAGAAGTGGCTCAGCCTCACAGAAAAACCATCCATCTCCTCCTTTGTCTCTTTCAAAAGACCGATCAGGTCGCACTCAGTGAAACATGCTGAGCCTTTTTTCCAGTTGTTTCCCAAGGACACGAAGCAACTTTTGATAGGAGATGAGGCAATCTATTTCTAACAAAAACTATGAGACAGTCACATGGCCAAGGTCAACAAGGCATGAAGTTTCTAAGCATAAGGCACAGACAGAAGGCAATGTAGCAATATGATGCAAAGGATGTAGAATGCCTTTGATTCACTAAAAGTAGCTGATATTTAAAGGCATGCATCACATGTGTGCACCAGCAATTCTCAGCAGGCATGCTTTAACATATGCAGCTTGGTATAGAGATACCTATTAATTTACCAGGCACGAGAGTCAAAGCAGTTCTAAATGAAGCCAGAATGGGAAAAGGGAAGGGGTAAAAAAAAACAAACAACATTCTCTGAAGAGCTAATGTCGGCCTAAAGCACAACGTCGTGAGAGGCAAATATTGCTTTGGGTCAAGCAGCAGACTGAGGTAACTAAAACAGACCTCTGACCCAGATTTCCTCTTTGCTGTATCGTCTACATTTAGGAGGTCCCCAAATCGCTCATTAGTGATAAACTGATGGTGCGTTGGAATGACCCCTGTGTGCCTTCTAGCTGCAATATCAGCTTCTTCTTGCTCACGTTTAAGCCGTCTCTGGTCCTCTAAAAGTTTCTGCCATAAAATTGCATAAAATGGGCAGTAAATCATCTAGTTAAGGCCATTTGAAAGCTGCCACAAATGTGACTTTAATAAAATAGCTGGGACTTTACAGTTTAACACAGAATACTGATTCAATGAACACAATACCATTAGATTTAGCAGGCACAAAAGTACATTGCAGTAATGGCATAATGGAAATCCAGCTCATAGAGTGGATCTGATCCAAAGCTGATGGAAGTCAATAGGAGTTTGTCTAAGCTTGGGCCAGGCTCTGAGAGCTTATTAGATAAGGGGAGGCTGCAGATAATGCAGATGGCTAACAAGGAGTTTCTTTCATTGACATCCAAGAGACCTGGATCAGCTGCACACATAAGCTGAGGCACCAAACTCCCCTGAGCTCTGAAAGGAGCTTGGGAGAGTGTCTACCCACACCCAGGTTCCAGATTCCCCCATTCTTCCTCTGGGATCAATTAATATATTTCTGTACTGCTCTATAATTTGAAATCAGCAGGTGGAACTCAGAGCCCTGCTCTTAGGTAACTTTTCTTGCTGGATTTTGACACTGGGAGCATTACTAATGGGAGAAGACAGCAAAAAAATATTGTTTACATCGGAATTAAGAACCTTTTACCCATATTTCAAAACATACACAAACACTTGAGCTCAGAACGGTAATATGATTCTTCATTAAAAATACTCCTTGGTTTTATTTCATTTTACAATTATTAATTACTTTTGCAAACAGCTTTCTGGAAATCAAACACTTTTAAACTTTTTTAGCTCTGTTTGAATACTCCCTGTGCTGAAAATTCTGTATTGCTTTCTTATTATTCAGTTTGCCCATACATTATCTAACCATTTTGAAAAGGACTGACACATTCTGTTGACAATATGACACATCAAAGAATTCTAGTTTGCACCAGGGAAAAGCTTCCCACTTACTGATGGCTTGGGATGTCTTACATTTTCTACTCAAAACCTGAGGGCTCCCACAGGAAATGAACATTCTGACCAGTCTGATTAATACTGACTCAAGTGGCTTGCTTGGAGAACAGTAAAAAATTAAGTCACTTGTAGAATAAACATTTCATCTTTATCTGCAAGTCCTGAGGTGCTGCACTACATCTCACATACTTATCCAACCTTTTTACATTCTTTATAACCCCTCTACATCATTCTGTGCAACTGACACAAACTGTAAGGTTCATTTTAAACAAATGGTAAAGGGAACTATGCATCACACAATAAATCAGCACTAGAAGCAGTATTAAAACTAAAACTTTCTTGTTCTAACTTCCAATATACATATCAGTCACCATATAATTTGTCCTTTAAAAAGGGTTACAGCTTATTTCTTGTGTGTGGAGCTGCAGTAGCTGTTACTAGGCCATAGAAGAAGGCATTACCTCTTTATCATCATAACGCCTGCGGATAATTTCTTCTGGAGTTTCCATGTAATCAACTGGTGCAAAATGCCTTGGTGATTCTGAATCTACTTCGAAACAACATAAGGAAGTTAAAATACAAATGGATTTACCTAGCATAACCAGAAAGGAAAAAAATAAATATTTTTAAACAATTTGCTTCCATTAAAATAGTAAAGATTCTCAAAATTGCCACTAACTAAATTGCCAATCAGATGTCGATAATTTATCTATTTTCATTTTTTTCCCTTTTGGGCTGTACTTGTTAACAAAGATCTAAAAACAGGGAGAAAATAAAGGCACGGGAAAGAATAAAAACATAGAAGGACTTTGTGAAGAAAAGATTTGCTGCCATCAAAATATGATTTGGCATTTAACTGCAGAGGAAAGTTTAACACACACACACACACACACACACAACCAGACCTTGAGAAACTGCTCCTTAAAGCAAATCATATGGGTTTGTTTTATACTCCCATGTGTGCAAATGATACAGGACTAGAAATATCTCATGTTGAGATTCTTGTATCCCAGGAGTTGCTTGAGAGACCAGCTGAACCCGGTGTGATTAGAAAGGCAGCGGTAACCGTTTCTCAGAAGTGCAGCTGTTTACATGTCCTGAACAAAAATGCTCAGCAAGACACGCAAAGGACGTAAGACACACCATTAAAAAAAAAAATAGGGAGAGTCAGGAGATGCAAGGGTGGGGAGTAAAAATGCAAGGGTTGTGAAAGGAAGGAGAGGGAAAGCAATACAGATGAAGGGACAGTGGTAAAGAACACAAAAAGCCACCTCCTAGGTACGTCCCAAGTTCACTTTGCGGGTTGTTGTTTGTGTCCAAGCTGTGATAGAGGGCATATGGAATTGGGTTCCCATTGTGTAAGGAGTCAGGAGTGTCAGAGCGGCCCATGGAGCTATCTCGGCTAGATCCCATGCTGGGGAAGTAGCTAAGCCTCTCCACAACATCAAAGGAAGACAGGCGCCTGGGGGCTAGAGGCCTGCTTCTGGAGCACAGCTCATGCTGGAAGTGATGACTCTTGTCTCCTACACTCCCCTGCAGCTGTATGGGGTCATCCGGGTTCTGGGGGCTGGGCACTGCCAGGGTTCCAGGGCAGTCTGGGGGTGGAGTCCTGCTGGACTTGTGCTGGAAGGGCTTTTTCACTCGGAAGGGAAGTGGGCTCATTAGGTAGACATTTCTGGGGAGCGTGTGTCTGTCCCCATAGATTCCTTTGGAATCAGTGTTCCTGATGGCTTGCTGCTGCTCATGCCTTCGGATGGTAGTGAACCTGGTGTAGGAAGCTGGGCATGTGCCTTTGCATCTGTTGACTTTATGCTTCTGAGGCCCATTGATGTTGCTGTTGCTGCTGCCACTGTCATTGGAAGCATTTGAGAGGAGATCTATCTCATCTGTGCAAGCTGAAAGTGTGTCCATTGGGATAGCATCACTGACATCTGAAGCTGTGTCCTCCACGTTGCTGCAGGAATGGGAGGATTTGTCTGCCAAACTGGCAGCATCCTTCTCTTCTTGGTTTATTTTTGGCAAATCCAGAAGAATCTCTGCGGAGTAGGCAGAACCTAGACAAGCTTTAGACTGGAGAGAAGTAGTGAATTTGCTTTGTCCAGTGGAAAAGTCAAGTGCGGGCATCGATCGGGATCTCTGGATCAGCTGTTCAAAGGCACTGATACGGGAGGAAACAGTGTCTTTGGGGATCTGCTCTGAATCCTCTCGACTAAGGCTGTGTTCCATCCTGTCCTTTGCTTCGTTCTCAAATTGAGATGCAATGTCCCTCACACTGCAGGAGGAGACTGTGCCCAACTGGATCCTGGACCGGTTGATCTGGTGCATGTCTTTATACAGCATCGTAAACTCCATTCCGCTCTTCCTGGAGGCAGGGAATAGGTAGCCTTTCCTAGAGTTGGTGCCATACTCCTGTAGGCTCATGGTACTGCCAGACTTGATGACATATTCCTGCTTTGACTTCATCAACATGTTTTCTATGCTTTCCCCTACGTCTACCATAAAAGACTTTTTATTATCAAACAACGCAACGGAGCTACGAAGGTTTTCACAGCTTTGAGCTTTCTCATGAGACAGCAAGATACCCTTCTTGTCCTGCCCAAGAGCAGCTGGAGCTGCTAGCTTGGGTTTGAATTTAGAAGGGAGGATTTCAGTAATGCAGGCTTTTGCAGCTGATAAGGGCTTCTTATGTTTACATGCGTGACCTAACATACCGGTATGACTAGCGTTAAAGGTTCGGCTATTAACTGAAGAGGGTGCAGTCATATGAGCATTCCCACCTTTACGATCCACTGGTAAGCATGCAGAATAAAATAAATACAACCTGTTAGCTTAAGTGCTAGAAAGCTATTGAGAAAGGAGAGAAAACATGCTTGGATTTCATAAAATGCACTTTAAAGAAACAATGTTCCAAAACATAAAGAAAAGCAGGAAGACACCGCACAACAAGCCGCGCTCACAGAAGTAGGTGAAATGCTGCTAATAGTTCTAAGATGAGAGGCTCAGCCAGAAGTGCCTGCTGCACTTTGAAGGTATTGTCCTAAATAGTTCTGAACATCATCAGCTTCCAGGGAAGCGGTGGCATCACGGAAAAGGGCAGCTGAACTCTGGGCGGGATTAAGGTGTCAGCACGAATGCACAGGCACTAACATTGCAAAAGTGGCTTAATATTAAGCCTGTAATCACACCTACTATGTTCTCACCATAGTGCTTTCCAAAAAGTTAACTACTGAGGGAGAAGAAAAATCAAGGGCTGACTGTGCAAGCACAAGCAGGCTGCATCAGCTGGCCTTACCCAAGAGCCAGATTAGAGATTCCCCGTGCTAGGAGCAAACTGAGTATGCTTCAGAATGGTGTGAGCCATGTTTCCTTTAAAAATCAAGGAGTCAAATGAGGACATTTTCTAACATCAGATCCAGTCTGGGTTCAGCTGTGACTGCAGTTTCTTAGATCTGTTTCTGATTTGAGTACATATTAAGATGTCAAAATAGCCATTCAGGCTCAATTGCCGTTTGGAGAACAATAAATTGAACAGATTTTTTCTGTTCAGCTCCAGTTTAACTCCCTGCCCCAAAGGCTGGACAGAGTGCTGAAAAAAATAGCTGGAAAATGGAGACAGAGACCTTTTTGGTGTGAACGCACTATTTTTAGGAAGAGCAGTTCAGAAACCCAATGCATTCTTTCCCCAGTCCTCTCCTCATCTGAAGCCATTTTTAGGTTGAAGTTGGCTCAGAGATACATTCCCTAACACAATTCCCTGATGGGAGCCAGCTCTTCCTTGACTTAATCTTCTAGAGAGCCCACAATGGGGGGAGGAATGGGGAGATGAACACAACAGTCTCTGCTGCCTTGCTGCCTCACAGATTGCAGGGCACTGCTGTCTCAATGTCCTGTGCATTCTCTGCACACCCCTCAGGCAGGAGGCTGTGGAACACATGGTGCCAGCTACCCCAGGGCATCTGGGCCAGCAGACATGCTGTGGCCTGCTGAGAGATCCAATAGAAAGAGCAGAAAAGGCAGGGAAGGGCTGTAGCATGACAATGCATGGTGCAGATGGACAGCAAGGCCAGATCAAGCAGCCTGGAGGAGCGTGAAGGTGTGGGAGAGAGGGAGCTGGTCCCTGCTGTGATGAGGAACCTGGATCAGGTAAAGGCATCATGAAAAACACTGGTTGGTGTGGGCTGAGGGAGAAAAGAAAGAAAACTAGAGATGGCAAAGAGAAAGGACAGAGGAACCCTCAATTGGCTTGAGCAGGACTGTAAACCCTGCAGTGCTTTGCTCCATACCACCATACTTTTGATACATTGTACAGAATGGAGGTCAGGTCCACACCCTGACAACCCACCTTTTGTGGAAGCAGAGCTAGAAGGACGCTTGAGACCACTCAGCCCCTGGAACGGGATATCTCCGCCTTCCAGCACACTCTTGTAAATCTGTCTCTCATTCTCCAAGGCAGCAAGGTCCCCTAGTGCTGGTTCTGAATCCCTCTTCGCTGTGTGGTAGTTGGGTGAATATGTGGAGCTGAAAAACAGTTTGGAAAAAAAAAGGGGGGGAGTAGATGCTAGTGGGTCACTTGCATTTGTTGAAAGCTTCATGCAGTGAAAGAGAAAACCACACCTGTAAACCCCAGAATAGACTGTACATAAAGAACTGACGCTGAATGAAGAGGTTATGAATATACTGCAAAAATACTGCAAGTTTTGTGCTCCCACAGTATGCTCAGCCTGAGGGAGCTCTCCTAGCTCAGACTCCCAGAAAGCAGGTGGCAGGAAAGCACTCCTCCTTTATTTTACAGATGAGACAACAGGCTCATAGAGGAGATGCATGGTTCCCTTGCAGATGAACAGAAATTCAGTGGCTAGCTGGAAGCGGCATGTTTATCTTCCAGTTCCAGTCCTCTCTCCTCAAACACTAGCACTTTCTCTTCCCTGCTGCAAAGAACAGCTGCTCAGGAATCCATCAGAACTACGTCAGCCTCCCAGCCAGCATTACAGGCCAAGATTCACAGATTTTTCAAGTCATTCAATGAGGGACTTTGCAGAGAAGGAACAGCTTTGGGCTACAGACACTACTGTTTTAAGAGAAATTTCCCAGATGTGCACAGTTGTGTTCAGCTTTCCCTCAGACTTGCACTACAGGAAACATCATGTCCCAGACTCTCACTGACACAAAAACAAAATGCTGAATTCTGAGACAGATGTAAAAAACAAGCACAATCGTAATTTCTTAAGCCCTTAAGTATTGACAGTTTATTACAAATTCCTTTCCTTGGTCATGAATCTGACAGCCAGTTCATCCCCACATCTGATACCTAGATTTCACTGTTCACTCTTTGAAGAAGACAAGCCAAAAAAAAACCCAAACAACAAAAAACATTTCATGATATGAAGGGCCATTCAAGGTGCAAAACATTTGCTAAGCAATCAGACAGATTTTTTTTCCTAAAAGCTGAGCTGAGTTCATCTGATACCAGTCTGCATTCTCAACCAAGCTCTTCAGAATAAGATGCAGTCTCACACATAAAGCTATTCCTAGCCCAAAGCTTGGTTGCCAGAAAGTTAAAATAATAATAATAATAATAGCCTTTTGCCAATTCACAGAAATGTTCTGATGGCTGGTTTGCATCATGATATCCAGGAGTGATTCAAATGTATGCAAGTGTGGAAATGCTTGTAGTTACGCCTGCTTGTGGGTAAATCTGTACACACATCTGGTTATTTTGGATGGATGCTGTAGTTACAGGGCAAAGAGAAAGCTTTCATAAGCATCAGAGGACTGCCTGTGAGAGTGGAATTACACAATGTCTAGAACAAAAAGAAGTTTTTTGTTTCTGGACAAGGAAAACTAGGTCACATGCATTCCCATGAATTACTTTTCAAGTTTTCAAGGCCTAGAACAACTCCTACAACCACCAGCGCAGCTTGTGCTACCAGACTTCAGGGGGAACTGAGACAGGCTCCAGCAGATGACATGATTGCAGGAGAGCAAACCTGTCCCGCCTACCAAAAACAGAGGTTTCACTGCTTTGGTAACATTTCTGGGACAGTCAGGAACTCAAGATTCTTATCAGCATCTGTCAAAAGTAAGTTATTCATTCATGCTAATCTTGGAGATTTCCATTTGCTTTACTTCTCTCTCTCTACCAAAAGAAAACTAAAAAGTCATGGGAACAACGAACGACATAATGTCAGTTGGATGCCTGAAGGAGAGCATGCCTTTCCCAACAACCCACGCACACCAAGGAGATCCTTGGACCTTTGGGAAATGCCAAGCAGCAGTCTGGTTACAGGAAGCAGCAGCTTCACAGGAGGAGGAACTCAGCACAGCTCAGCATTTCACCCAGGGACTTTTTTTCTTTCTCTTTCGAAGCAAACCAGCTCCATGTACCAGTCGATTAGCCAGAGTTAATATTAAGTATTCTTCCAGAAAACCAGTGCCACATTCAATCTCTGAGAAATATCGCTACGACTACTAGTTTTCCCTTCCTAGAAGCTAAAAGTCACTGCCTTTGAAAAACATCATCCTTTTCCTCTGGCATGCCTACCTGGGAACATGTAACGGGAGACAATCTCACAAGAATAAAGGAAATAAATTTCTTTTTTGTTACCAGGCAACAAAATTGTTGGCAAATATGTTATATCTTAGTGTAAGTTGCATCAAGATGGAGTTACAATTCTGCTTGTTTTTTAAAAAGTTTTTGCCTAGCACAATAGCAATTCATATCTAAGCATTGCCACCACTCCTGTAATCACTACAAAATTCATTCAAGACCAAAGAGCAGGCATCATACCTGAACTCATCTAAAGTACATGTAGAATTTTCCTGGGACATGCATCTGCCTATATATCCATCACCAAAAAACAGAGCCAGCCCATTTCCAGCACCCTATATCGTGTCCTACATGCTGCCAGACTATAAAAGAGATATCAAAAAACAACTTGAAAACTTACTAGGAAGAATGGTCTGTGGAAGTTTCCAGAGGAGTAACACCTGCTGTATTCTGCAAAAGTCCAAACAAAGGAGTAATTGATACACACTTACATGCCAGGAATAAGAAAAAGGCTTGCTTAAGTCATTTTCCATCGCCCAAATATTAGCATTTATGAGACATGGAAGTTTAAGGCAAAATGCAATTTAAGCTGCCGATATCTTTGCAGAAAAGCAACGATTTTCCGAGTTCCTTTAGGGCAGTGACAGGTTTTTAGCACAGCCAATGCCTTTTTGCAGCGCCTATTCTTTTGTCTGCCAATGAGTCATTGTGCATAAAGCCAAAAGCAAGAAGAGATAATCAGCTGGGCCAGGACCAGGAGACACATGCTCATCATTATTTCCCCAAGCTTTCCCCCCAACCAGTCACTGCCCAATGCTGCTTTAAAGGTACATTACGTTTCTGCAGCACAATACGTTCTTAAGCATTCAAAAAAAAAAACAACAAAGCGCTAACAAGAAAAGCAACATTTCAGTTCCATTTCCTTACTTAAGAGAAGCAATGCGAGCTGCACAAGTTCAAGAGCAAAAGCCAGATCTTATCCACTTGCTTTAAATCCATCTAATGCTACCTAGGCACATTATTGAAAAAATGGAAGGCAATTTTAAAAGAAATGCTGCATTTGGTCTCCCCTCATCTACCTGAGGATTTGTACAATGGAAGAAAAAGCAAATCTTGGGTTTGAAAAAGCAGCTTGTTCACGTCCTGTTGAAATGCCGCAGTTTCAAAGAGAGAGAGAGAAAAAAAAAAAAGCCCAACAAAAGAAAAAAATAGCGTGTTACCAATTTAATCTATCATTTCATGGTTCGGGTCCTGCGGAGCCTCGGAGTGGCAGCAGCTGACCTGCCCTGGAAGGCCACGGCAAGGTGCAGGGTAGGGAAAATGATGTAAAATCTCTGGGGAATATCCAAATGTTGGGCAGCACACGCTGCTAGCAGGGAGCAGCAAGGCTTGTGCAAAGGGAGGGTTGATGGCAACACACTTGAAAGGCACGAGATGATGACGTGAGGCTAAGCAAGAATTTTAAGCTGATTGCTGCTGCCTATTCATGTGAAAAATAGAGAGGGTTTGTTGTTGTTGTTTTTTTTTTTTGCAGACACCGAACTCAAAACCCTAAAGGGGGACAGGGTGGGGGACGGGTAGCTGAAAAGGAATGGGGGGAGAGGAAATTGCTGTTTCTGAAAATGGATTTCAAGCCGGATTCTCAGCATCACATTCTATTATTTCTGACAGCGACACAGCAAGCCATGCAGTCAGAATGGTCAGAACCATTATTTATCCCAACCTCATTTAATAATCATCCAGCAGCGAATAGATTAGAGCAGAGAGTTTGGAAACAGGGATTGGCAGCATGAAAAGAATAGGAAATACCTTCTGTGGCTTTTTATGTGGCGCTTTATAAAGCTTCTCCATTTTTTCTAAATCTGCCTCTAACTCAGTCTGGTAGAGGTAGAGGTCTTTTTCTAGATCAGTCTGGTTAAAGAAGGAGAAGAAGAATGGGAAAATGATGCTTAGGGTTAGGGGATATCAAAGGAATGTTAATTCTGAAAAATAAATAAGCGAGCCTTTTTAATTGAAAAAGTCAAAGATGGTATGGACAATAAACAGAAATCCACTACTAATTAATTGCGTTTCAATGGTTACAGAGGAAATTGATTTAGGCATTTAACATTCAAAATTAAAAGACACGCAGGCCTGCTAGGATCTAATTCTACGAACAATAAAATTATAAAACTCACCTGTTAAAAAAAAAAAAAAAAAAAAAAGATACTGTGACAATAGGCTGTTAGTATAATTATCATTGCAAGTCAAGATAGCAAAACCACCATTCTAAACTACTGCTGATTATGGTTTAAGAATTGCTTATTAAATCAAATTACTAACTACTTGTTAGGCAAATGAGCTCAAGCCTATTTAAAAAATAAAATCACTCACAGGCACACAAAACCCAAGCAATGTTACAAAAGAAATCCACATACACACACACACACGCAGCAGATGCTGTAGTACAACGTACGTGAGACACAATTACCTTTCTATCCTCTCTAGTAAGGATAGAGCAATCTCCAGGAGTATAATCCCAAATCTTTTTTGGAGGCTGATGGAAAGCAGAGGAAGGAAATGAGGAAATGAAGATAAGGAAGACATCACAGAGAATATGGAAACTGGATTAAAACAGAGCGGGAATACAATAGGGGATTTGCATCAACACTGAAAAGAAATTAAAAACAAACAACAAAACAGAGAAAGAGAGATAGAAAGAGGGATAAATCCGTTCTAGCACGAACATCGAGAGATCACAGGAGGTAAAAGGAAGCACACATGCAGTCTGGGAGGGGCTGCTTTCAGTAGTATTTGGGGACAGCTTTATTACTGTGAGGCACTCAAAGGGATTTAGGGCTCTCTAGGAGGAGCCTGCAGCTGTGGTTAAAGCATTCTTAATATAGACACAAAAAAAAAAAAATCACAAAACAAAATGGGGAAAAAAAATCACATAGTCATAAAAAGCATTTTTTTGCTCATTCTTCTTTTCAAAAGGAAAGGGTAAAATAAGGGCCTTTGGTAAAGAAAAGGGAGATATCTTTCCCACCCACACCAGACTCTGAATACATACCATGTGAACAAATGGCTGAATTTCCAGTGTTGGCATTGTGGGGCAATGAGAATGCAGAGTTGTTATTTGCTATTATTCTCTTCTGGGGAGATGGTTTGTGGTGTGTTTTTTCTTTTGGTGGAGAGAGTCGGGCACAGGCAAGTTTGGGAAATACTTACTTATAATTGATCCTACAAATAAAGGCTATTTCAAAATACAATTTTTCCTATTTTATGTATGTGTAAATATCAGGGAAGATTATTCAGAGTGAAAGACCTTTGTCCTACCCGAATAATGCTGTACCAATATCCTTCTCTTACCAGACGTGCACCTCACTGACATGTTCAAACACTTCGTTCTTACTTTGTAAAATCAAAATACTTCTGCTCTTCTGCAAACAAAGTAATCTCTGTTGGTTGACAAGCTTAGCATCATCCTAGGAGTCTGTACTGACTGACAGAACTATATTATCAAAGTATCTGACAGGGAATCATGAAAGCATGATTGAGCTACAACATTTGAGTCTTGGTCCAAATTCCATCAGGTTTCCAGACAGTCTGGGTCTGTAGTTTGAATCAGGCTCACTTCTAAACTTGGACTGCGACACTAGGGCATGAGATCAGCAGCCAGTAGACAAGATGGTGCTGTAAAGATTCAGGTTTGAGACGTGGAGATAGGAAGCGGAGGAAAGCAGGTAAGAAGGCAGGATATGCATGAACCCTTTTTCCAGTCCTCTGTTCATAGCAAAGAACAAATTCAGGGGCTGGGAGAAGTGTCCAGTGTCCACATGTGTGACCCCACAATCCCAACAGAAGACAGTGAAGCTCTAGACTGGCTGGCCACCAAATTTGGCTGGTGGGGGGAGAGGGAAGGTGTACCATCGAGTGCAAGATCAGAGGTTGGGAAGAAAGAAGGAGAATGTGGGGATTCAGTCTCTGCAACACCCTGGAAAAGCATCCATGCTGCACAGAGCAATCTTCCGATGCTCTGCAGGCACACATCAACATATCTCCCTAGAAACATATCTGGGATGTTCAACCAGCAGAGCACTGCTTCAGCTGTCCTTAGGAAGTGCATAGGCTTTCCTCAATGCAAACCCCTATCCTGGTCATTCTGGTATGTTTGGAGATACCACAGCCTTGCAAGAATACTGTGCTTCCTTCTATCAAGGGTGTTTACTGTCCATGTTCCATAGCCGCCATATTAAAGCCATAAAAATGGGAAAATATGCTTTTACAAGTATACATTATCTGCAGCACTAGGCAGGGAAAGCCTGACCAATGTAAATGGGGCTTAGCCACAACTAGTCACAAAAATCAGATCTTATTGTGGCTAAAGTGAGCAATGATACATGAAGACTACTATTTGGCTGTGGTTGCAGGGCTCAGTGAGAGCTTTGTTGAATTTGTCTTGTTCAAGAGCAGCTATCAGTAAAAGTCTGAAATAGCATCCTCAATTAAAATGCCCAATGTAATGCTGAAGCACTACGCACATAGCGCCACATTCACTGTCTGGTATAATGTACCAGGATGAACATATATGGTTTTGGAGACAGAGGAAGTTGACATGGGCAGTCACTTAAAGGCAAACTGTAAAAAACCAGGCCTTAACAAAAGTCATGGACATCTCAAACACCTTTGAGGCCTACGTAGCATATGTCGGAAGGCTCTTTGCTATAAAACACAGTTGCCAATGACAGAATGGACAGCCCAGCCACTGATCGTGCCTGTTTTCCAGCAGAAATTATACTATTTCTATATGCAATCAGAATAGGCACCCACCCAAATTCAGACATCTATAAACTGCAGAGGGATTTAATCATATCCTTGAGAACTGTGAGCAATGCTTAGGTTTAAAGAAAACCTGCCCTCTGGCGTCCATGTGCAATAGGCTTTGAAACCAGTGCTGAACTCTAAAACATATTTGTTTTATCATATGTGCATGGAAATCTCAGCAGTGTTCAAAAGTGGCGTGTGTGGGTATTCGACAGTTTCAAAGAAAAAGAGGAAACAGCCACTGTACTTGGATAAATGTGAGAGGCTGATGCTGACCCTCTGGTGCAGTAAGAGTAGCTTATTAAACAGCATTTAATGATGAGGTTCATTGTGTTTAATCAGTGAGAATCAGTTTAGTTGGTGAGAAAATTATACAGACCCTGTTTTTGTCTGTTGTTTTTTTTTTGTTTTTTTTTTTGCTGGCAGCCCTAATCACTGATGTGCTCTTCCATCAAAATGTCCTTTGTCCTATCTAATAATTAAGCTTTGCTTCATCCTTTTCCAGAGTGAGTGATCAAGGCTTTTACTTTCTTCCCCTTTCTTCTTTTTTCCCCCCATACAGAAAACAACACAGCTCTACTTGAAAAGAAAGCACTCTGTTATCAGATTCCTTCGCTTTCAGGGAATGGCCAGGGCTATTCAATGCAGCCTGATGCACATCATTTGGGCAACAGGCAGGTACATGAATAAGGAAAGAATCAGGAAACAGGCTCATAATCAGGCATGGATAACTGCAAATTACTGATCCATAGTTTACAAGGTGAGGCCAGAAATAAGTAACTGATTTACCTAGATTTAAAGCTACCTATCAGCATTCCTAAATCTTCTTAGAAGATGGGAAATTGAAAGAGGACTCTCAGTGAGAACAGGGCATTACTTCTACCATTAAGAGTAATAATGCAGTTTGAATTGTGGTGTGCAAAAACAAAAATATTGTCTTGTTGGTAAATACAGCTGGAAGGTGGGGAGTGTTTGTAAATGGCCTCAAAATACTCCAAGCAATCATAAAAGGACTATTTTGCATCAATACCAGGGTGGTATTATGAACAGTCATTTTTAAATGAGTAAGGCAGCTGCTCCACGTTTAGAGCCTAGCAAAGAGATGTGACAATAATTAAAAAAAAAAAAAAAGGGGGGGGAAAAAAAAAAGGCAGGTTGATTTTATTGGTCACTGCAACTATCAAACTTACCGGTTTCCCAAACTCCAATTCCGAAAAGAATTTATACCAAGGTTCATTCTTTAAATCTATCTCTTCTGGGCTTATATCCCGAGTCTAAAGGAATTGGTGATAGGGGAATGGAAGAAAGAGAAGGATAACATTATGCAAAGAATACACAGAAAAAGACTGTTAAAGATGCAGATTCCATAGTTTCTGTTCTAAAATGTCGATATTTAGCCTGATAATTTGAAATTTCTATAGCATCTCTCATGAAAGCTATGAACTGCTTTGCGAACATCAGTTAAGCATCATTGTGAGATACATGAATATGAATGAATTGCATTTTACAGATCAGGAGACTCGCACAGAAAGAGATTATGCAGCTTGCCCAGATTCACTGGAGGCTCACTGGAAGGGCTGGGAGTCACTCAGTCCCCCAGTTCTACTGTCAGGCATTTCCACTGAGACCAAAGCACAGGTACTGGTTGAATCTCTTTAAACCATCATTTGGTTAAAACAAACAAAACAAGTGAGATTCAGTGAGACTTGAATCAAACATAGCAAAATACTGCATCTTTAACAGCACATGAAAATGTGAGAAACCCTGTTCTATACATTGCAAACAGGGTGAAAGGTGGTTTTCTAAAACAAAGCGGACACAGGTCAGAGAAAGCACATTTCTGAATATTCTCTGATAAGATGGATACAGAGAGACAGTATTACTTGTTTCTTCACAAATAAATGTTAAGAGAATCAGACTGAACTAAAATGAAGGAAAATCAGACAGGACAGAAAATACTACAATTGAAAAGAAAATTTCCTTTTATTCATACAACACGAAGTGTGTCCTGATGCAAATCTTCGTGTGATGGGGTTACTGAGGTGGGGGCAGTTCCCAGCATTGCTTGGCACTGCTGGATGTTTCAGATGGCCACAGCCATCAGAGGCATCGCAACAAAAAAAACCAAAAACAAAAACAAAAACAACAACAACAAAAAAGGCTCTATGGAAAGAGCATACAACTGATTCTGAAAGAGGGGCAACACTTCTATCTGAAAGATAAATGGTTATGTTGTGTCTGATCTCTTGTCGCCTGGACAATGCCTCCATTTTTTTCCTTTATTGCACTCTAGCTCAAGTACTCATCTCATTATGTAACTGCAGTTACTGAAGATAATAAAAAAACCACTGACGTCAGTGGAAGGCTCTTCATTGCCCTGCAATGGTCTTGGATTGGGATTCTGATAGCCACAGCTCCTGGTGTGATCACCAGGAGATATTCACAAATCTGCTGCTTCCTCAGAAACACAAAGATAGACCTAGTTACTAAACAGTGACTAGTTACTGTTGTACTTAATGAGACTGATGTAGATTATGAAGTTACTATTTCAAGATGTTCTTTTTCCTGTGATCTGTGGTTTGAAATTAAAGCTCAAAAAAAAAAAAATCATCAAAAGTAACACAGCTATAGCATTCTTGTCTTTGGTGATCTCAGTACAGTTTTTCTCAATTGCACTGAATGATGGTCCTGCTTTTGGCTTTTAGATTCTGATTAAACAGCTCCATTAAGTAACTCAAGAAGTCTGAATGCATAAATAGTACCACTGGTTATGTCAGACCTTTTTTAAGGCTTAAGTATACAGATGATGCAGGACTTTTGCTACAAGCTTTAATCTTGGCTATTTATCAAGAGACAAAATTGCCGCTGAGCTCAGCAGAAATCTTAATCCACGATGCACTGAAGAAGTGGCACTGTCATACCAAGCTCAAACTACTCCTCCCCGGTGCTTTCTCTATTGGGTTGAGCCAACTCCCAGTACAATTGAGAGCCACCCATTGCCTAGTAGTCCAAAAGGCCCCAGATCATACGCTGGTCAGGGGTGACTGTCCTGAAGTCAGTGAGGGACTGTTTGGATCAACTTTTGAATTGTTAAGGCACAGAGTGCAGTTTACATTTGGAATCTCACCTGGAATTAGCAATTCCAACCAAGTCCTTCGGATTAATGCCTACACAGAACAATTACATATTTACATACCAAACTGGTTATTCACTAATAACCTCACTCAGTATCTCCTAGCGCTTTCACAGTTGTGCTTGTAAACTGAAGGACCTTAAGTAGGTAGAGCTGATTTATGCAGGACTGACAGAGGTTAACATCACCTTTCCTCCCTGTTGCTTCCCAGGTCTTCTCATCCAAGCCTGCAGAGTGAGATTTTTGTATTTGCCCTATTTGTCACAACTCACAGCTTACTAATTCGAACTAAAATTGGTAACAGTTCACTTAATATTCCAGGTCACACACTAGTGTAGCTGGGGGGTCAGCTCACATTCAGTTCTGCCACCTCTGCCATGGAAGGAGTGAGATCTAGCTGAGGAAGAAAGTAGCCAAGGGGCTGTGTCCTAAAGCATCTCAGAAGCATCCGCTGAAGCACATTACTAGCACTCTAAGAAGTTGTTCAGTGTTTAAAGCTAATGGCATCAAAAGAACATAGAAACTGAACCAGGCAGTTTTGTTTCATAATGCTTTCAACCCTACTTCTGTGCCCTAGAAAAAGTACAGCTGGCGACACAGCTGCTGCAGAGGTCAGTGTCAAACACGGATTAAAAACTAGGGTTAGTGATCCATACTTAACACAGAAAACAACATATCCCAAAGTAAAGCAGCCTCTCAGTCCTCATGGATTTTGCTTTATAAAGAGAGACAATGTTATGCAAAACGATTTTCAAAACAAAATACAACAGAATACATCACACGATCATTGCAATGTAAACATAAGGAATCCTATCGGAATGGAACTGGACAAGCACTCAGTATCATGTATATCATGTATATCATGTATATCATGTATATATCACATTCACAGGATTAAGGCACACTCTAGGAAAAGATAAACATTACCATTTTTTCACTGTTCAGAACTGAGGACTTTCCTGGCTGATAGTCATAAATGCTCCTGGGCTCTGCACGGTATTTTCTAGTGTCCACCTTCTTGTCTGGAGGCTCCCAGTCCGTCCTGGGGAAAGAAATATCAGTTAATGCAAATCACTGTGGTTTCCATGGAAGCAAGTACTTCTTTTGACAGGCACCTTCTCCTGCTAATCCTGGTTTCATTAGAGTACTTCCTTCATTCTGGAAAGAAATGTGCTGTGAGAGAAGCAGGTCAGATAGGACTCATGATTGTATATTTGTTTTTCTACAACAAGAAGAATTTGACACAGCTCAGATGCTGAAACCACTGGAATACGATGGGTTGGGTGTCTTTTTCATACTTTCAATGAAATGTCAGAGTTTAATGTCTTTCCTGATTGAAAATAATGTAATGATGGAGTACAAATTAAGCTCACAAATACCAGTGTGTCCAAACGTGGAGGAAAATTCAGACTAATTTCTCCTGCTAAACCACTCCATTTTTGCCATGCCACTGAGTTATCATCTCTTCACACAGAAGTGCAGCAGTCTAACCAGAACTACTGCTGCTCCAGGTTTGCTCCCACTTACCCTATTGATCCGGTTGACAATAGGAACCACCCACTGAGATACCCTTCTCTCTTCACTGATTTTGGAAGACACAGGCAAGTAAGTTCTCTTTTAAAGTAAGGCAAGATGATAATCAAAATGACTAGACCATCAACACTGTGCAAACTTCCACAGTGTTAATCATTACTGCTTGGAATTAACTTGACGGCTTAAGATTCCAGTCCCAGAGAAACTTTGCCCTGGTGAAACATTGTTTCGTTACTAGATAACAGGAAGCACTACTTATCACAACTCTTCCATTTGCAAGAATTTTCGCAAAGGGCCAATGTACTCTGCCTTCAACTTCTGTGTAAGGAAGAGATGTTCCATCAGTTCTATGGCCTGAGATGTTTACCGAAATAGCACTCTCAAATCACAGCATTACATATTTGAGGCATTAAGTGAAAAACATTAAAAGCATGAGGAAGTTAGTGAAGGAAGGAGGAACAATTCAAAAGCTGGGAGAATTCCACAGGACATACAATATTCATTGCCCTTTCTGCTTTCCCTTCATTTGGTAAATGCATTCATTACTCTTATAAAGAGTTTTTAAATGCTTGGTAACAAACAAAGCAAAAGATCAGGATGGAAATCATCTTGAAAGCTTACTAGTAATCATGAAAGCTAACTCAAATCTACTTCCAGTAAAGTCCATTATGAGTGAGACGACTCAGAGAAGGGCAGTGTAAAAAACTTTTACCAAGGTTCAGCATAAATTCACTTCTTGCCCCTATGCAATTACTGCTGTTCACTTGTATACTGAGGCATCTTTACAGTGTCACATTAAACGGAGAGCTTCCACTATGCTTATGTGGAGAGACAATACCCTAGGAAACACTGCTCACCCCAGCAGAAAACTACCTATGTAATAGTGAGTGTGATGCCTGCTCAGTAAATGATGCAATGGCAGAGGAAGCCGCGGCAACAAAGGAGTTAATTAGTGTCCTGCAGACAAGTCAGAGTTAAAAATACACCTCCACCTCCCCAAAAACAACTGGAGTCGTGAACCTAAACTTCCGTATTTGTTCTCTTCCTATTCACAACTTTCAGACACTCTTCCACTATTGATCCAAACATATCTTAGTTCGGGTCACCTTTCAGGGCTGGATTTCAGCAATGAAGTACGGTTTGGTAGGGGCAAAGTGGCAGACCTCTTAAACACCTTCTCTGAGTCAATATGGTCCATCTCACTCTTGGAGCGAGGAACTGAAGGCTGGCTTCTGGCTGTGGAATAAATCAAATACAGAGATGTTGGTGAAATGGATAAGAGGCCAACAAATACATACTTTATATATCCCCTTATGTTTGAAATATCATACAAGAAAAGGGAATTACTTACTGTCCTCACAATAGGAATAACGAGGAGAGTATGAATCAGAATCTTCATCTGAAAGACAAAAGCATTTTGCAAGTGAGCTGAAAAAGCCCTCCAAATGAAGCATCAGAAATCCTTTTCATTTCCATTCTTACATTGGCCATAACTAGAGAGTAATACACTCAATACCTACCACAGAGAGGATCCTAAAAAAGAAAATGCCAATGAGATTTAAATTGCATTTAAAAAATGCTTCCTAGATTAGATATAAATATTAATATAGTACTTATACCTTTCTCCAGCCTCTCAAAGCACTTTAAAAAACAATCACTTTTTGTCACAAAACGCCTCCAGAGCAAGTGTTATTAGATCCACTTTATCAAAAGCTGAAAGATAAATCGAGAATCTAAATGCTGAACTGTATGCCTAAAATAACTCATTAGGTGCTAGACACAGTAATAGAGCTGAGGAGTCCTGTTCTCAATCACACACAGTAATCACTGGGCCATCTTGCTAGTATTAAGTAGCACACTAAATTGAAGTATGTTCACTGACTCAGATTATCTTTAAACATTGATAACATTCCTGGCACAATACATGCATGTATAATTGCACTAAGAGATTGTCCTTGCTCTAAAGAGCTTACGTTTTGAATAGAAAAGATATGTCTATAGAATGCAACAGAGGGGGGTTCAAGCAGCTCTACAAGAGCTAGCAATGACAGTCATGACTGTAGTGCCCAGGGCACGTGCACACCTAAAAGAGGCGGGGAGGATGGTAGCATTACTGCCCACACTCTACAAGTGATGTCCAGAGACTAGCTTTGATTATCAAAAACCTACAGGTATCTTTTTCACCATATTCATCATACTTTGGAATAAATCCTCAATGAACTGTATCTAATAGCATGAGGAGCTAGGATCAGAACTGGAAACTGGATCCACAGACCCATCATCTTTCTCTACCAATGAGGGTTCCAACTATCAGGGAAGTGTACTTCGGATACCTATAAGACTTCAAGGCAAAACACAAGAAGATAAAATGCAACGCCTGCAAAGAAAATCATGAGTAAAGATATTGCTAACAGCTCTGTGAATAAACCACTGAAATAGCCAGATAAAAATAGAGAAAAACAGAAATAGATGAAGTAAAGAACATACTGTACGTTTGTCGCATTAACTTAGTGATGTCAATCAACAGACTAAAACAATTTGTAGCTTCTCTCTCTCAAAGAGTAGCTGCTATATCCAGCCTCATCTGCTGGAAAAACAATTTGGCTAATACAGCTGACCTGAACTTGCACTCATCACTTAACTGAGCTTTTCAGAAAGGCTCAAAGAGGTCTTAACTCTTAGCCCTGCTGCTGAATTTCTCTTGGTGAATGAATTAGAAGGTTTAAGTTCTAAATACAGTTACTGATTTCTGGTATGCTTATTATAGCCTTCAGGAAAAAAAAAATAATAATAATAAAAAAAAAATTAAGGTCAATTTTCAGACCAATTTTCATGTTTCAGACTAAAATGACAGAGAACAACTGTTGATCTATTTAATAACAGGGAACTGTTGAAAAAGTTGACCGCTATTGCTATACAAAAAGTGGGTGTATACAAATACCAAAATACTTGGTAAATCACCATCTGCACATACAAACAGATACATCTAATACCATCTTCACATCCATTCAAGCTCTCAGTATTATTTAATGCTAGTGAGCAATTAAAAAATTGATCTACTCACTCAAAAATAATTGTCAATACTCATTAAGTATTGTTGTTCAGGCAGGAAAAAATAATTTCAGATAAATGCTAAGTTTCCAATTGCAAAGATTTTAATAGCTAAAGTAGTGAGGAAGAAAATGATACTATTCTAAGAGAACATTTCTGAGGGAGAAAACACAGGCATTCTTCTATTTTATAGCAATGAACAGTAAAACGCAGAAATCTGGAATGACCCCATAAAATTTAAATCAGAGATGAGCAATTTGAACAGGATCTCCTGAGCAACATCCTATCTATCCAACACTTAGTGGGGCTGGGCACGGCCAAATCATCCCTTTAAAATCTGATTCTTTTTGCAAAAAGTGGCAGTCCCCTGGCAGCTCCTAGAGAATCTACAGAGTGTTTTGTTGTTGCTGTTATCTGCTTTTAAGGCTGGCTAAAATCTCTAGATTTCAATATTCTTAGACTTTGAAAGAATTTTAGAGAAGAACCCAATCTTAATGTTTTTAGGAGATCTTACACAACAACCCAGAGCAAACAGACTAACACTCAGAGTGTATGCAATCTAAAGCTTGAGGTTTCAACCCATCTCTGTATAAGCTCTTTGCAGTAGAACAGAACATTTTGAAATATATTCTGAATATGAAGCATGGACTCTAACACAGCTACACCATCATATATTCTGGATTCCTCATCAATAAAGAATCCAAGCAGGTATTTGAGAAGCATTTCTCAATATACTGTAAATAATGAGCAAACATCAACCACCTAAACCAGCAAATTACTCTCATCTGCACATCTGAAGTGCACAGGGGAAATTTATGGGAAAACAGACTCTTACTGCAGTAAGTTCATTAGCTTTACAAACTGTTTTTGTTAAGATAAAGAGTAAGATGAAGATGGATTTTCAAACTTCATTACAAACCAGAAAATTAATTGCAAAATTTCTTTAGTGACCAGTTACTGAGGTTCTGTTTCTCTCTCATTTGTATCAATATACCATCCTGCCAACGTAAAATAATTTATACTACTTTGTAATATGCAAGACAAGACTTTTCACCTGCAGGTTTCACCAAAAATTAAGTATCTGAGATATCTGTTTGACACTAATCCACATTCGTTTTCACAGTGAAATGCACTTCACATCTCATCTTCTTTGATCATTTCAGCTGGAACCCAGATCATACACTTTTCTTTTTATAAAATATCCACCAAATCCTTAATAAAAACACTGAATGAAATGGTTAATTAATAATCTCACCAGGGCTGCCTTGAGGCACAGGCTATGTAGGCAAGTTCCTAAATGGCAGGATTTTAAGCAGTACCAAAACATGAAGCAAACAAGGCTGTCACCACCACCTCCTCCCTGATTACTAAACATCTGTATATGCCCAATGTCTGCAGTGGATTCCAATGTTTCTAATGTATAAGTGTTTTCATATATATATGCAGACGGTTGTAGGATTATAAATGCTATAAATACAATTTAGCCATCCCTGAAACATGACAGACAAATCTAGTTTATACCTGAAATTTAAAGGTATCTCCTGAGCACACGAAGAGGCTAATATAAAGACAGTGATGTAAGTTACAACATGTGCTGATGACCATCACATTCTGCCCTTGCCCAGATAAGCGAGTGCCCCTAAGGCCAGCCCTGAACCCACGTTACCAGGTTATATTTATTTTAAAGGACTGCATTGAGGGACTGATCCAAAACCCACTGAAGCGAGCAGCCATTTCACCAATAGACTTCAGTAACATTTTGGTCTGGTCCTAATGCTGCGTTAATATTAAAAATAAGAAATAAACAAATAAATGTGTTGATCCAAAAGAAAGGCAAGAGAAATCACAGTTAGATCACATCTCTACATGTATATCAGCATTTTAGGCATGTTAAGTAATCACTGCACGCATATGGCTAAGTATAATTGGTAAGCGCACAAAACCAAGCAAACCTCAGGTCTGTAGCATTAGTCAACTACTAGTTAGAAAGCCAGAGGAGCACTGCAAAGCCAAAAAGGCATCATACAGTCAAGGCAATGCTTACAGTGCAGCAAATAATTACGAGGCAGCATAATGTTCAGCAACTAGAAAAAACTCCAGGAAGAAAATAAATGGACAAGGCAGCATTTGTGCAGAAAAATATAGATGGTCCTTCATTATTACCTTCAGAGATAGGGCTAGGAGTAGACGCAGGAAACTGGTATGTAGGAGAATAAGGATTGTCTTCTGCAGCAGAGAAAAGCAGTGGATTTTGAGGCTATCCACAGTGAAGTGGAGGTTCTGCTTCATCCCCCAGCTTCCTACCACCATTTGGCTTTATTGCTTATTTTAATAACACTTGAGTAAACATCATCACTCTTTAAAAACTTAAAAATGGATTAGCAAAGTTTTAATTACTTTATACATTACACAAGAAGGTATACTGGGCATGACTAGACCTGAATCTAGTTACTACTATGGTGCTACAGTACAGTTAACTCAAAGCACGAGACAACACATACTCTGACTATGCTTCTGGTACCTTCAGGTTTTTGCTGGATTTCAGGAAGTTCAGGAAATATGTAGGTAGGGCAATAAGGATTTTCTTCAGGAGTGTCTAAGGAGAGGAACATGATTTGAAAAAAGAATAGAGAGTAAAGATTTAAAGGGGAAGAATGGCAAGACAAGAATCCACACAGGCTGCAGAACAGCTCCTTGTGCTGATGACACACAGCATGACACTACCCAGATGCCTTCTTGGGCCCTAAGGGAGATCCTGGAAGCAGAAAGGACTAAATTTATTCTTCATATTCAGAAGTACTGTCTCTGACTGAGCTGAAGAACCTCTGTTAGGAGCACTAGGGTGAAGAAATGGTTCAACTCTTTCTCACTCTATCCAATACAACATGGTGCCTAAATATGCATAAAGCTCATCATGACAGCACCTGCAGTGGCATGCAAAACTGGAGCAGTGTTATGTAAGCGCAGTTCTGGATTGCATTTGCCTGCACATGAGCCTGTTCAGACACTGCAAACACTGCTGCAGCCATTTCTCACACAGAAGAAAGAACACGGATGTATCAGCAGCCAGGCACTGAAGTGCCTCAAAGTAGTCGAGTCCCTCACCACGATGAAACTTCAATAGAAACATGAAATGTCATATTTGCAAGAGCTTATTACAGTTTTGAATTATGAATGAAGAAAAATTTGAAGTTTTGAAGAGCAGAATTCAGATTCTGAACTGCTCAGAATCAGTGGAAATCGTTCCCATGGTATCTGTGACCCTCAAACCATGTTCTATTAAGCAGGTACTAAAGCAAAGTTGTTTCAGTAATAATATAATTCAAAAGTGTTGTGTGGGACAGCTGCTAATACTGGAGTTCAGGGATCTGTTTCTTAAATATAGACTTAGTGGCAGCCTTCTGTACACTCAATAGTACGTTTGATTTCATGAAGGCACTGAGGTAAACCTCTCAGAACAATCAGACTTTGCTTTGGACTTCACTGCTTTCTTACCTTTGTTTTTAGAGATTTTAAATACATTGGTTGAATTCTGTGGTGCAGAGTAAAAACTAGTTAACATAAAACAATTCTACTGAATACCCATAGTATGATTTTTCATATGTATTAAAAATGTTGTAAAGGTTGTCTTGTAAATTTAGTAAAATGACCCATCGTACAGTACCTCTGTTTAGCTTGTGTATCTGTTTGAACATTGTCTTGTACCAGTCCTTCGATCTGTCTGTGTTCTATTGGAAGAAACAGCACACAAATAATCACAAACATGAATTCTATCAGCCTTTCAAAGTTTTTCTTTCTTTTATCATATTCACCAAAAGGTAGACACAGTGTGTAATTTAGTCATTCATGCTCTGTGTCCAATGGACACATGCAGTGTTCAAGTTACTCCAGACACTAGTTGTAATGGGTGCGTTATTCTTTTCACTGTAATTTCACTTGATAGCTGAATGAAATTAAACACAATATTTAGAAGAGATAACTGCCATTAAGATCACTAAAATAATGCAAAATTAACATCCTCCTTCACCGCTAGCAGTGAATGAACAATGTTGTCCAACATGATGAAAAGAGAGACTCATATTTACTTTTTTTTTCACCTGATGCTGAAATTGGGTAATTGATAGAAAAGTTCATAACAATATGCACTGGAACTAAAATTCTATTTTCTCTTATATCTCAGCAGCCTCTGTATCTTCAGCAAATTCCCCAAGTTTCAAGACAGGCAGAACCAGGTTTTTGCAAAATGGTCACGTTTCCATTGTTGCCTTACCCTCAGTGGAATGCCAATGTCATCAATAGAAGTATCAGCCATATGCTGAGGGCTCTTGACAATTCTCTTCTCCTCCAAAACCCTCCTCTCACTCAGCACGGGCTCCTGGACTGGCTTGACTTGTGTGAGTGCCAAATCTACTTTATCTGAAATTATTCTGTCTGGCACAGAATCTGGAAACAAAAACAAGGCATTCTTACTTCATTGCAGTATTCCATCACTTCACCATATCCCACTCTTTTAAGGCAAGAACCCTGGCAAATAGTTGATGAGACAGACTGTGACCCTGCCAGCTGTGGCTAGCACATAGGCTGAAGGAATCTAGCAAGAATATGTTTGATACCAGCAAAAGCAGGCTAGTATTTCTTCACACATCTCGTGACAGGCTCAGCTGTTACATAAGACAAGATTTTTGGTTTTGGAGATTTTTTGGGGTCTAATCAGTGACTGCAATTTCATTCTTAATCTCCTTTGTTATAATCAACAGGATCATTTCTGCATCCTAACTAGAATTTGTAAACGACAAATCCCACTACAGTTGTTAGCATTATGTATCATTCCTCTCTAAGTAGGGAAAACAACTACTTGCTCCAGACTGCCTTGATTCTACCTGGCATTCCTTGATGCTGCCTGGCTGACATCCATATGCAGCACCACTGAGCAAGGAACCTGGGAGCTTGAACTGCTCTGAAGATCTACTATGCTGTGGAGAGCTGCAACACGACAACATTTAGGCTCTGCTAAGAACTCCTACATGGATTTTCTGGAGAGAAAACATCAGTGATTTTACAGTCTGTCTCATCAAGGATCTGCTGAAGCCTGTTCACTTTATATCACTGCATGCATTGAAGATAGAGAGAGGTTTATTCACATGCACATCAACATGCTGCCCAAAGCCATTAAATGTGAAGAAATCTGAGAGGGACAGTTAGCAGAGGAGGGGCTCATGCACAACGAAGCACTGGTACCCTGAGCAAACACAATCTGGCCTGCAAAAATTAGTACATGAAGAATTTGTGTTTGAGTGGTTTCTCCTCTAAAAAAAAATAATGAAATAATGTTTATAAAAACAGTCATCATGTAGCAAAGCATCAATTAATTTGTCATCTACCTTATCCCACTTTGTTTTCTCTCCATGGCAATGCATGTACACTGTCTTCCGGTCTTTTTTGTGTTTCTGGTGCAAAGGGTTGGTTCATTCTCCTACATCTGGGAGAATTAACAGCCAAATTCCATAGTGGAATATTTGCCACACAGCTCCAAAGATTTCTAAAGTCTTAAAGACTTTAGAAAGACTGCTGGTGGTACAAACCAGGCCAAGGTACTCAAAAACATCAAACAGCCAAAGGCAGTGCCTGGCCACATAGATAACCACACTGCATACCCCATGGCACCTTCGATGTCAGCAGCAACATGGAGCTGCACAGCAAGAGTTCCACTGTTGTGAGGAAGAGGATGCAAGACACAAGGGATGAGGTGGCCACCTGCATCTCTGTGGTTGTTCTGACTCAATAAGAACAGGTGCAGGCACAGCTGTGCAAAATGGGATTCACTGGCAGGCCATGGGCCATTTGGGTCCAAACAAGCCACACTGTGTGCTGTCTCTAGTTTGGAAAACAAAAGGGTTCCTGATCGTGAAGGGAAACACCTTGTGGAAGGGAAAACCAATAGGAAGGAAGCTTCTGTCTGCAGGACACAGCTGAGCTGAGTGCGCTGAGGCACCACCAAGGGAAAGAGCAGGGAGAAACGTGCAGCCTGCCACCTGAGCAGGGCACAGCAGAGAGCAGCAACTGGTGTGGCACCAGAGGAGCTGGCTGGAGGCAGCTGGACCCTGGGAGTGGGAACAGGAAAATAACTTCTCTTCCCTGTCAAGGAGATGCTCACAGACCTGTTGCAGGGGCAGATACAGCTGCAAGGGGAAAGAAGGCTGGCAGCACACCTGCACACTTGTCTGCTACAATTTTATCATATACTTCTTAGGAATTGGCACAAATATTTCTGCTCTATAAGTCAACACTGATTTTTCTCTCCCCATCCTATGTGAGATGGACTCTAGCGGCCACGCAGGGAAACTTGAGAATACATCCCATGTCAGTAAACCTAACGGTTCAAAAGGCAACCAAACCAATCAACAAGTTACAATTTAGGAGGAATAGACTACCAGTTCTAGGAGTTATGTAGGTATATTAACACAGCCACACCGGCAGCACATGGAGGAGAGACTGAAATCAAACATTTGGTGACCTGGACTAAGCCAGGACAAACATTTAAAGTCTTTCTTTTGCGGTTCCTGGGAAGTGTGTTTGCTCAAGGCACTTCACAGCTAACAAAGCAGCACTTTGTTCCAGCAGAGGCAGTGGGCGCGAGGGAGCAGACCTTTCACATCATACCTGCCAGGCTACTAAGCCTTTTTTGCTGTTCTGTGGTAAAGAAAGAAACAAAATAAAGAGAAATACAGAACAAATGGGTGAGACAAACAGCAAGTGCTCTAGTGCTGCATTTCTGACAGGCAAGAAACACGCTGCAGACAGAATGGCAGCAGCTGCTGGAGAGAGTCTGTTTTCAGATCACTGCTAAAGTGACAATCCACAGCCCCTTCTCCACACAGCACCCATGTGGATTACACACATCTCGTGATGCAGTGCTCAATACATTTGTGAGGAGTATTTTTTACTTTTTTAAATACCAGAGAGAATGAAAAAAGCTGGACAGCAGACACTTTTAAAAACACTGAGGACAGAGTCAACCAACTTGATCAATAACTGCTATCATTACCACAAAGTGCATTTTAAAACAATAATACAATAATTTCATAGCAATATAAGAAAGTATTGAGCTAACACCGTGCTGAGTCTCAGCACATACTACTGAGTCACAGATTGAGTGATCAGCCCACAGGCACAGGTTGGGTAAGGCAATGAGTTTCAGAGACGTCATTTTGTTTTAGAGCCTTTCATTACTGAGTTACATTACACAGACTGGGACATCTGTGGTATCTTCTGGGATGTTTCACTGTCCTTATAAGTTGACAGAGCTGCTTTCTAAAGAGATGTCCAAACAACGTGCCTGAGTTGCGGCTGGGAATAAACCAAGGATTCTTAGCTGTGTTCTTTGCTCTATCCACTGCTTTGCAGTTAATCTGGTTATTTAATGCATGAAAGCAATTTGAATAAACATTTTACTGACATACAAAACGCAGACACTCTTGAAAGCTCATGTGGTTAATGCAAAGACTACAAAACTTTATATGTATTAATTACACCTGTTAAATATTCATAACAAATCATGCCATGCACTGCCTGCCCAGGAAATAACCGTGCTTTGTGGTGGCATGGGACACTTGCCAAGCAACACTGCAGTAGGTAAAAATTCTCCATCTGCATGTTTGTTAGCAGAATCTGTCTTCAATGGATGTTTGTACTAAATGTACTAACTTTGCAAGGGAGACCAGTTTTCTTTGCTAAAAAAAGCTCCCTCACTAGCAGAGCAGAAGTGCTGTTTGTTTTTCTTTTTGTTGTTGTTGTTTTGGTTTGTTTTTTACATGAAGGTGATGTTTTCTTTCTACTTGTGTCTCAGACTAGGAAAGAGCTGCTGATGGACAGAAGCTGGGGACATAACTGCTATCTCACTCTCCCACCTGACCAGAATCAGCTTGCAGCCCCAGGCACACACTAGGCAAATGAGGATTTGATCTTTGATCTTGCGTTCTGGGACTGTAAGCAAAGGCCAAAGACTTGTCAGAGTCTCAGAGAAAGGGCTGAGCAGGGGAACACAACTGCTGGCAAAAGGGAAGGAATGATTAAAGATGCCTTCAGAATTCCCAGAGGAACGACAGAATAAATGAAGGCTTGAAACCAATAACAGAAGGGGAAGAGGAAACAAATATTTCAGTATGTTTACTGCAAAATTAAGATGTCCAAAATAAAACGTATCAATCTGGACACCAACAAATGTGAAGGGAATTAGTTCTTACTCTAATACTAGGAATGAACTAGAGGATCTGAAATGATCTATGCTTATAGGCATAAATGTTATTCAGTTGGTGATACTAAAATCTGGTTAAAAAAAAAAAATCTCTCCTCATGACTGAGCAATTGTATTTACTATGTTTCAAATGTCATGACCTGTTTAGCAGCTACACAGCAAAAGATCTTAAATGTTTGCAGATTAATGAACCAGCAAGTAAAGTATAAAATTGGACAGTAGGTGATGTCTGCTACAACAGTCACTCCAGAGAATAAGATAACTAGCTCCTTAAAGAGCAATCAATAAACCACTGAAGAGAAAAAAAGCCACATTATCCATCTGGAAGACTAACTGAACTACAGGAGATTTCAGATTGCCAGCATTAAAACGACCTTGAAATTTCTTCCTCAAAGGATATTCACAGCACACAAGAGGAATTTATATTAAACCTCATCCTGACATGAAGGAATTGATTTCAGAACAAAATATAATTAACTATTTTAAGGGAAGGTGTGCCATAATCCAATAACAATGTTATCTGCCATGAGACTAAACCGGCTTTGAATGGATACGGTCCAGAAAGATGAAATCAAATATGAATCATATCAGCCAGGACAGAAAAACAGAATATCGCTAAGATGTGAGAATCATTTAAAAATACCATATCAGCTACATTACAGAAATATTACAAAACACTACCAAAAATCCCTAATACTATGCTGGGAGTCTAGATGTGGGCAAAAACATAAGGAACTATAGAAATCCCCAACATACAAAGCAGATAGAAAAGAAAGAAAACATACCTACGAGCAGATAATATATGCCAGGAAGTAGAAGAAAACTATGATGGAAGAAAAAGAATTTACAGAATGTCCCAGAGATTCAAAGAGAGGTTCAGAATAAACAGACCTAACAGAGGACTTCATATTTTACCAAATAGGCACATTGTAACTATTATTAAGAGGGCAAAAAATATGACACATCTAATCACTATTTCCATTCTTTTTTTTTTTTTCACCCCTCATTAAATAAAAAAGCCTGACGTCCTACTGTCTGATGGAGAAATACTTTCCACTTCAACAGTAACAAAGGACCATGCTGAATGACAGAAACTGAAGTCAGAGACTTGATAATCACTGTGCTCATATGAAATGCACTGAAGAATTTTAGACCAGTTTTTTTGCTCTAAAGAAAGAAGTTTCAGGAAGAGCAGCTTGCTGGTCTGTTGACAGTCATCCTCAGTATGCCTTGCAATACAAAGGAAACGCTACAGGATAGGAAGAAAGATGCTGTGACAACATTTGAAAAGCACAAATGTGATGGCTGGAACGTCTGCCCGTCAAGTTGACAGTAACCCCAGAAAAAATATTGTAATGACTGATATGAGATTTTATTATAAAAAACGGTGCAGAAAGTAGCATCAGTTGGTACAGACTGATAATGATGATGATGATGTGTTCTCAAACTAGTTCAATATGATCCTTACAAATTATAGGTTTGATTTCTAAGGACTGGAAAACATGTTTGAATGGGATATTGTACAGACTCAATTATGCTGCTTAACAAGTTGCAATCTATAACACAGTCAACAAAGATGTGATTATAAAGCTCTTCAATACATCAGCCTACAGTATTATGAGGCCTGATAGGCAGAGGCAAGAGATCTTCAAGACTGAATAAAATTGTTGTCTGCAAAGGTGATTAATCAAGTGAACAATCTGACATCCCTTGTCTGAAAGCCAGAGTATGCGGACCATCGTATTATACAAATCTGTCATGCTCTTAAAATCTACATAGAGAAAATATCCTTGGGAAGTACACACTCTAAAATGCTCCAGATTTATAATAAGGCAACAAAAAGCTTTGAGATAAAAAGGTTGTCTCAGATAAAACATTTGGGAATCCAGACATCCTCATTCAGGAGGACAAAAAGTTTCTTCAGATGCTGGAAAAAAGGAAGAGATACAATCCGCTCACATGAGAGATATCATCAGCTGGGCTACAGCAGAGTAACTAACTCTGGAGCTAAAGACAGTAGTCTGTTTAACAGAGGCACTGAAGAAAAGAATGTACATGTTGTCTGCAAAGGAACAGAACAACAAATGCTGGTAAGCAAGACTGATTTAAACGAGTACAAGTCTTGCTGCCATTTCCTGATTTTCTTTCTTCACAAAACACAGGTTTCAGCATTGCAGATGAAACTTCTCCTGCCTTGGAATTTCCCAAGTTCACTAGAAACCAAAGCAAATTGGGACTGCATCTGTGTGAAACTTTACAAACTAGTCTTTGGTGATGTAAAACCAACTGTCAGGCTGAGGTAATGTCAATCATCACGAGAACTAAAAAGGAGAAGGAAAAGTTTTCCTCTAACACACAGATAAAGAGATATTACTATCCATTCAGAAGAAGCTGTGGTGAGGTAGAGAAAGATTTGTATGAGCTGTCTTGCGTTTATTAAGTTGTTTCGTTCATACACAAACCTAGGGTATACTGCAATGAGGGTCTGAGTTTAATAAGTTGTGGAGGGAGGAACAGATTGCCAAATTCAAACATACTGGCAATCGGTTGATTTACTACTGGGTAAATATGGCTGCTTCCACACTGTAGTAGCTGAGAAGTAGCTCATCCTTTTTCCAGTACAGGAGGACCTAGCTCAGTTTGTCTCGATTGTACTGACAGATAGACAACAGTACATAGCCTTTCCACCACGACAGATCACCTAATGAGGGATAAGCTGTTATCTGCAATAAGTTAATATGTCCCCTTAGAAACATCTTCCCCAACATCTAAGTAGCTACTGATCCACAGGTACTAATTAGAAAAAGTAGGCATTGTGCCACACTTCTAACCTGTAACCTGTCACCTGGAGTATGCTGCAGTCCCAACACTTCCTGGAAACATCTTTATTATCCCTTAGTAGTATGGACTTCATTGTCCATGGCACAGACATTTCTAAGTTCCTTGCAATTTTAACAGGTTACTCAGTTGGAACCTAAATACCTATCTGGAAGACTCCTTACCTCGATTGTGCTGCAAGAGGACAATAGTGGGATTGACGATTGTGGTAGAGGGATAGGCAGAAGATGACTTGTTGATTGATGTGAAGGAAGTTGGATAGTCAGTGCCACTGCTAGGCTGGGTCACGTCATTTAGTGCAGGACCTGGGTCCTGAAAAGGAGAGCAATACATTATCATCAGCATGCAGGAAAACTGCAGCACTGGGAAAATCTGGGAATAAAAAACATCATTTGAGACTGAATGAGAAGCATAATCATAGCAATTTTTAGTAAAAAGGCATAAGCATGAGCATGACCTTGCTCCATGTATGTACTCTGCTTCTTGTTAATGCAATTAGTTTGCTAAGGCAGTTGTATAATTCTTTGGTGTTGGGTTTCATGACTCCAACCCCAAAAGGAGGCACTAAATTAACCCGGCAGGCTCTCTAGAGCAAACACAGAGTGCCAAGCAGCTCTAGTTGTAAGAAAAGAGGCAGACATCCTTCCCTGATACATACACACACAATTTTTTTTTTGGAGGGGGGGTTGTTGTTTTAAAACAATTCCTTTCACAGCAAGAATCAGGCATGCAAAACTCATGCAGTTCTAGAATGAAACATTACTGTAGCTGGTTTGGTAAGGAAGTTCCAAGAAATAAGGTTAGCACCATCACTCAGGAGACCGTGTGACGTCTACATGGTAAAAAATCATGAAAAACAGAGAAATGACAAACAGTAGGACTCTACTAAGGAAGATACTCAACATAACTTTGTTGCTGAAACACAGATAGCAGGCTACTCTTGCCTTCCTAAAGCAGCAAGCTCCATTGTTTATGAATTTCAAACCCACCTTTTGTATCACCACAACTGTGCTTGTTCTGTAGAAACACAGGTTGGGCCCACAGGAAAACTTAAAAATTAGTTCATCTTTGAAAATCCTCAGTCTAAGGATATCAGGCTCTCTCTTTATCTTACTGCCAACAAAAACAAAGGGGTGATGGCCTAAGAATGTGTGCAGCAGTTTAGGCTGAGATTTTTCAACTTCTCATGGAATTTAGATGCACAATTAAAGTTAATGGGGAATAAGCATCTAAACAAAGTGAATGTGGAATTTCTGCATTCTTGCTGCTCCACTGTCATAATGGAATGCTGCAGGCCACTGATCTGTGAAACAGAGCTGAGCATTCAAACAAGAGAGTTTAAGTCAGCACTGAAAATAAATAAATACACAGACTATTACACCTCACACCCACCAGTGTCAATGGAAAGGCCTTACAGGATAAGGTAAGGGGCTGAGGAAGGGCCAGAGCTCAAAGAAGTTATAGTGAGAACTGGCCATCAACAGAAGCAGCATCTACAGTTAATCTAACCTGGAGGGGAGGTAGAGCAAAACAATCCAGTTCTGCTGGATGAAGGTGTTCTTCCTCCAAGAATCATTCTGATCAGGCCGTGGACAACTCATAAGGACAGAACAGAAGGTTCTTCAGACCAAAGGTCTCTAAGACAGAGACCTAACCTCATTTTGCTGGCTTGGGATAGTATTCCAAGCAATGCAATTTGGGAGAAGGGCGGAGGGAGTTGGAGAGAAGTAGGAGAGATGCATTTGAGCTTAATTTTGATAACTAATGTATGAAGAACTCCTAAAAGAAGGAAGGTGTCAGGTCAAGTCAGGCTTAGGAGTCCCAGCTAAGTCATCAAACTGGGTGAGCAAAGAGCACTAAAATTACTGAAGAAAACTGCTCTGCAATCACATGAACAGAGTATACACAAAAATAAAGTTTCAAAACTCTCATCTCATAAAAATCGTGTAGATCAAAATTTCTACTACTACCTCAGTATTTGGATGCCTGCTGAATTTTCCTAGTGCCTGTAGATAGGCTCCATAAAAATACTTTCACTTTTCACACACTGTTCTCAGCAGTAAAATCCCACTAATTCCAATAGAAACAGAAAGGCCAATGCTGAGAACTTTTTGAAGTATCATCCTCAGTTGTTTTTTTCCTTTCCCCCCAAGCCCCATATGCCTGTTGGGGGCACCTGTTTGACCTCTATAGAGTTGAAGGACAAAGGAAGTACCATCATAAGAGATGGTTCTGCTGAGCTTCTTGCTTACCCCCATGAGCAAGCGTATAAAAAAGCTGGTGGTTTCAAGACTTCCAGTATCTGACCCTCCTTGTACTTTTTGCTTTTTCTGAAACTTCAACTGAGATCTATTTCTCCTCCTTGTTTGGAAGGACTTTTTAATAGAAGGTCATGGGTTTAAAAAGAAAATATCTAAGCCAGGAAGAACACAGTAAAGTTCAAGTTACAATTATTGCAGTACTTTTTTAAAAATTTGAAGAATTCAAAGACAGGCAACTTGGTACTGAAGAGACACTCTGATCCTAACCTATCCCGTAGTGCCTACGAAGTTGGAAAAGTCTCAGCTCAGTAACTGATAGTATTGCTTGTAGGTCATTGGATATCAGCAGCAATCTTACATTGGCTTCAACAGGAATTTCTGTAGATATCATACAGTCTTATTCCAAGTGGAACAGAAAGCCAGCCCTAACCTTTAACTGGTCTGCTATTATACTTCCAGTGTTGTTCAAACACAATTAATGATGTTACTAAAAGAGCCTGAAGAGATCAGTTAGTTGCAGCTATTCTGTTTACACAGAATTAATTATTAGCAAAGCCTGGTGAAGGCTCCTAAAATGTGTAGCACCTAGCAGAATGGATACAGAAGTAGACAGTCAAATGTTGCACAAGTCAATAAAAAGTCCAAAGCTGCACAGGGCAAGCAATATGCATGCACTAGCATAGGATGTAAACAAGGTTTCAGTTGTCATGCTGCTAGCAGGGAGTGAGTCATCACTCCTCTCAAGTTTAGTATGCCAAGAAGAAAGTAATTTTAATCTGGGAATACAAATTTAGGACAAGAGTGAGAAGGGTACTTGGCAAGCTTACTGTACGTGAGATGACTCCAGTGATTTCAGGCTTCAAGCCCCTGTGCAAAGCCCCCGTAACCGGAGGTACAAGTGAAGGTGGTGTTGAGAAGAATGGAAGTTTCGGGTAAACAGAGGGTGATGTGCCAGACGCAGAGGGTGCTTGGTTATGGTGGGAACCCCTCTGGAGATGTGGGGGAATGAAATCATCTAGAGTCGGAAAAGTCAAGGGTGTGCCAGGAGGAAGAGTCTCAGGGAATACGGAGCCTTGCCCAAAAGGAACCAGAGGCGGTGGAGGAGTGCTGGAGCTGCCTTCTTGTTGTCTGTCTGGATTAATCTGGACAAGGGGGACTACTATAACCCCAGGCTGAGTTGTGGTGGCAGTGACATCCTGTAGGAAACAAGGTGTTGTTATGCAAAGGGGAAGATCGGAACTTTAGTCTAACGCAGCCACATAGTGTCATGCAAGGATGCACCCCAAATAGTACAAAGCCCCAAAAGACTTTCCTTCGCTAGAGAAATATCTTTCCTCAGTCTTTCAGCAATGGCCTCTGTAAGCACACACAACTTTTTACCAAAAAAAAAGAATAAAATAGCATCTTCCATCCCCTCACCACCCCTCTCTCCTGTCATTTGCAGAGAGGCTAAATCAAACCACAAAACAGTGCTGCACTCACCCATTACTTGAGAAGCACTAACCAGCACGTAACAGAGTTTGCTTCTTTTATACCTCCCTAAAATAGCAAGATCTTAGCCGGTCCAACCCAGCCCCCTACAAACAACATGCACACACAAACACACAGATCAACGTTGGGGAGACATGAGGTGTTAAACATCATGGAGTAGAAGACCACAAAGGCTCAGGTGGTGTATCAGATGCTCAGAAATTAGGGAGGATGGAGACAAAGCATTAAGGAAATATTATAATGAATTAAAGAACCATTCAAATGGCTGAAAGAAAACAAGGTTATGTAGAAAACATGTACCATGCTGCGTCCCACTGCCTTGTACGGCGGCTGCCGCTGCTGGGTAAGATAAGGCTCTTTTCTCATTCTGTCCTCTGTGGCAGCTGTGCTCTGGGGCTCTAGCACTCTGTCCCTCAAAGCTTGCGGAGGTGATGACTGTGTCCAAGAGGGCTGGCCCGCATCAGAACTAACTGCGTCTTTATTGAGGACAATGTAAAAGTACGGCCTGGGAGGAATAGGAGGAGGAGGAGGAGCAGGAAGAGCTTTTCCCGTTGCAGAGAAAACAATATTGGTGGCTGGTGCCTGAGTGACCTCAGCTCCCAAACTGGTGCTGGCTGATGGGTCATGTGTGGTGCCAGTGGAATTTTCAGACGTGGCTGAGCAAGTGTTGTTAGATAAACAAGCTACATATAGTTTGCTGACCTTTTTATCCGCCTTCGTCTCATGACTGGAATTCATTCCAGCCTTACTACTGGGATCTGCCCTGTCAGGGTTGCGTTGTAAGGATGATGCATTTGATGAGGAGCTACTTTCCAAGAGTGGCTGCCCAACATGCACCATATCTCTGGGACCTGAAGAAGGAAAATGCCCTGCTGGCAAGCCTTGCTTTCCGCTGGGGACTGCCCCATAGGGGGTGGGTGATGAGAAGTAAGACCGTGCGCTGGCATTTAGTGATGCACGCTGAGCAGAAGGCTTGGGTGCATTCAGGTACACACAATCCATGATGGGCACTGGCAGCAGGTTGGTTGCTTTAGTGTCAGTGCGAGGACGCCATGCAAAGCTTTCCTCCTTGGGGAGAGGAGGACGGGGAGGAGGAAGGGCCTGCCCAGGCAGAGTCAAGAAGCAAGAGAGGGAGAGAGGAAGCATTACAAAATGAAAGGAAAAAGGAGGGAAAAATAAATTGGAAGAATGAATTTGGTCATTAGATTTGGGTTAAGCAGGTTTTAATACAGCAAGAACAAAAAGTAAATACAGTATCTGGAAGGCCAGTATAGAACTCACTCACATCATCTCACAGAGTCTCTCCCAGCACTCCTCACTGCAGCACACAAACATTACCCAGCTCTAAGTCCCTGCCTACACATTTCCATATTAAGATTTAATATCCTGCCTAACTAAACCCAGGCATATGTCAGTGTAACCAAATACTTCCCAGCACAGGGTTCATCTGAATTGCAAAGCCAAATTCAGAGCTCTAGGCCACCTCCACTGCACATAAAGTGCACTGCCAAAAGATGAACATGAAGAAGTTTTGCCAGTGCTAATGAAAACAGATGTGAATACAATAGGTTGCAGTTGACCAAGTAAGAAGTCAGCATTTATTCCTACTGAAAAGCTGGTCCTTGAATTTTTTTCATGATTTTTTCAGTCCTAAAAATGCTTTTGAGAAAATCAGAATAATTGAAGTTTCCTGAGGAATTGAGTTAATAAGATTTTGCCTTCAAAATTAAGATCGCTACAGAGAAGTTCTCTTTCCAGTGAATTTTAAAGGAGTGGGAGAGCTGGAAGCAAAAATAAGCAGCAGACAGCATTACTGGCTTTGGTACTTTGCAACTAATTGCAGCTCCAATTCCAATCACAGTCAATTTCTGCTGAAAGTCAGATTGTTTTGAAGAAAAATAACTGCAGTGGAGAGATTTTGCTTTTTACTTGGTTGCCAGTTGCCAAAAATGATAAGCTGCTGAAAAGAATAAAACACCAGCCTACCGAACAGCAGCTCCCTGCATTCTTGCTAATTAACCCTCTGGAAACTATAGCAGTATGTTTCATACATATATACCACTGCTGTATCTTTATGGGCAAAGAGTGGCTAAATCACTTCTGAAATAGTCAAAATCAGAATGAATATTCCCTAACAGCTCACAACAATCAAACATGAAAAAGTACCACCTGTAAAATACATCCACACATGACAGGTTGGAGTCAGCACCTATTCTTGTTAGATGGATACATATCTAAACTATTTTCATAAAATTACAGCTACTCCTGTCCTTGTGCTGCTCCTCTTTCACCTTCATCCCCAATGAGGGAAGATTGCAGAAGTGCATTGGAAAGTGCTTCTTCTGAAGGGCTTCTGGTTTTGGAACAGGATCATCCTCTTTTGGTTCCTTATAGAAAGTAGTTTTAATGCAAAGAAGTCAGCTCCACAGAACTTTCCTGTATTAGGCTCACTTTATCACTGTATTGCTATACGGTGAAAAATGAGAAAATTATGAGAAAATACAAATTATCTACTCGCAATTGCCTTTTCTCATTTTGTTCATTTCACCTTAGTTTGGACAGTAGCCCTGGCTACTTCTGTAAGGAGTACTACATGCCTAAGTCTTCTCTCTGTTCATCAATAAGATCAGCAAGTGACTACAGGACCAAATGGAAATGTCAGGCAGAAAATAGGTCTCTCCTTTAGGATGCTGCTCCTTCCCAAGTCTTCATCTGAGCTGTGCCATCTTCCACTTAAAAATTTTAGGAACAGTATCTGCTCTGTGGCATTACTGCAGGTTGCTGATGATAGGAGCAGTCACCCCGACAGGGGACAGGGTTTTCAGGGGCTCTCCATTTCACATAAGAACACATTATCTAACAAAGGGCTTAGTTATGAGCATTCAGACCAGCTCTGTGCAGACCAGTCACTCAAAAGGATAAAGTTACACTTTCTTTTAATTGATTCAGTTCACAATTTATCCCAACGTACAAATATAATCTTTCCCTTGACAGCCTTAAAAGGCTTGTATCAGTTACAGTATTAAAACTAAAAGGTATTTCCCCAGTAAAGTCAGGCCCATCCTAAACAACTTATTTCAGCCTGCTCAACCTCTAGAAAATACACCAACACAGAAGACAAACTAACGGATGGCTACTTCACCTTTTTGTTGCAAGCAAATAGCATTGTTGTCCTTCTTCGTCCACCAAGGAAACACTGTGGTCCCTCTGAACACAAAAGCTCCACAGCATTCTGCTGACATCAGTGTTGTTCCCATTTCACAGGAAGGAAAAGCTGATGCACAGTAACTTACCCAAGTCTGCAGCAAAATCTGGAGTTCAACCCGGGACTTCTGCCCATGAATCCAGTGCTTCAACCCAGAAGATCACCCTGAGAGTGGCAGAAGAAAGGCTTACCTGTGGCTTGCTGTCCGAGGAAAGGTTCGGACGCACACTCCTATAACCCTTGGCAGCCAGAGAAGATGGTTGGGCATCCCCGTTGGCATCAGTGTTGGGTGATGATCTCCAATCATCTAGAAGGGAAAGAAGAAAAGCAATTCAGATGACAGAGGATTCCCTCCAGCTACAGAATTAGTGAAGGGAAGGGATTTTTCTTCCTCCAGACAAAAAGAAATACTTCCAAGAAAGCAGCAGAAGTAACAACTTAAGTAGTCAATGTTTGTACCTGTTTCTGTGTTTTCTGGCTCCAGACCTAAGCATTTCACAGAAAAGAGGGACAGAAGGGATGGGAGTAGAGGGCAGGCATAAAGGAAAAGGAAGGGAAAAAATAAAAATAAACTGTTACAATTACAGACAACATGTACCTATTGGAGTAAAGAGTTGAGTTACTTCACTTCAAACATAAAATGCTCTCTGACTGGGCTGCCTAATTACCATAGAGACCAGCCCCAAACACGATGCCCTCCTCCTTTCTGACCTTTGTAAACACAAGGCAATTCATTCAGAGCAATGAAGAAACAATTGTTCATTGACATTCTTATTTCAGAGGCAAAAAGGCAGCCCAGCTAGCTACTTTCTAAAGCTGCAGCTTCATGTCCGAACACCATACACTACTGGGAACACAGGGACTCCATATTCAGCTCTGATAAAGCTGATGAAGACATTTCTACCCTTGTCACTGCTACTACATATGATTAACTGGGACAGAGGACTGTCAACAAACAGAACAGGTTTGGCACACTAAGTTCATGCACGTGAAAGGAATTTAAAAACAAAACAATGTCACTTTACAATCAAGTCCCTGCATATAGATACATTGGTTTCATCATCTCTTTACCCACCTTCCACTGGGCTCCTCCCCACTACCTCTCCCCTGCTAGTCATTTTGCTTTTAGATGCAAAAAGCTCTTCCAGCTCCAAAGTACATTTCATAAAGTGATTGAGAGAATAAGCAAAGGAAGTATTAACAACCTCATTTCCATAGTAATGGGCTCACTGCCATTCAGGCTGCTGGAAATTTATGAAGCCATCAGCAGTGAGAGGCAATGATGGGGGGCAGGAACGTGAAAAGAGGGAAGGTCAAGGGTAAAGCAGAAAGGGAGGAGAAGATGGAGCAGAAAGTGGCACATTGGGGCTGGAATTAATGGAATCATCCTTCTTATAACAATACATCCAGAAATGATGTGTACTTTGCTTTCAGGAGCAAGTTTGACCCCCCATTCCCCTTAACAGCATCTTGCCTGTGGGAGTTCATCCTCTCTGCCAGACCCATTACACTGGCCAGGTTTATTATGCTTTGCCTGTCTCCTACAATTAAGTAATTACACTTCTGCTATTGAATGATGGCAAAGCTCTGTGGCGACAGTGTATGTCTGGGATGCCACTCCTGCTCCCTTGACAACCCAAGTGAATGCTGTGGTAGCGAGCAGCACTGTCGAGCCTTTTTCTGGTTCATCTTGGCTGGGATAAAAGTCTGCCAGAACAGACAAAACAAAACAACCAACCAATCACCACAATAACAACTAGATGAGAATTCTTGGTGCTGCTGGTAGCAAAAGGGAGCTGTAAACAAATTTAAGTCGATAAGAGAGCTGTCATGCACTGGAAGACAATAGGAGTCCATTTCTCCCCTTGGAGATGTAATACTGGTCTGGCTTTTAAAAAGAGATTTCCAGCAGCTATAGGACCTCAGGCTTTAAATTTTAGTTTAAAAATCAAATAACAACAAAAAACACAGCCCAAGACCCTGAACTGACCTCACACAATGTTACTACAAGGCAACATTTTCCAGATAACTTTGCAGCCACTTCACTTACTTTCAGGTTTCTCAGCATCCTGAGGACATGGCGAAGAGATTTTCTGATTCTCTTCAGAGGTTGAAGATACCCAGAGGGTCACAGCTCCTTTTCCACTGCAGACTTTAGTGGGATCTGTTTCTACAGGAAATGTACATGCACAGAAAAGACACATTGAACGAGATGATACAAAGCTATTAGGAACCATCAGAGCTCTGTGGAGTAACTTTAGCATGGCTGTCTCTGAGTGAATCGATCTAGTAATGTTTATGTTGATGAAGATTAGCTCTGGATTTAAAGCATTGAGAATTCAAAGCAGTTTTGTATTCAAGTAACTGATGAATGTAGAAACAAGTTCCGTGCCAATGTAATAGAGCTAAGAAAGCAGGAAAAAAGGATGATTGGTTGAACCAAATTTCATGGGTCCATTTGCTTCATTTGGCCTGCTCTGCGTGTAAATATTGTATCAGCAGGACAGCATTACACCTGTGTCTCTTCTGTTGGATATCCCAGTGGTATACAGCAGCATAATTTGTATGCTTAAAAATGCCTTTTGTGCAGGCAAAAAAAAGGTCTTATGTTTACTGGAGCACAAAACCTTGTAACCGTGAATATGATCTGCCTCCTTGCCAGGTTCCCCCATTCCATGATGGTGTTGTATCTTTTCAATGTAGGAACTCAAATGCCATAAAGTATAAAGAAATTTAACAGATGACTCTGCGAGCCAAACACCAGGTCACATCAGCTTCCTTGCTAAGGCTCATTCAGGACAACTTCTGTCCAGGTTTACCCTTGTGCACTTCAGTCTGTGGATTTGGGTTCTTTCCTCCTGTCCCCTTATTCAGCAATTACAAAACAGAACTTCAAGGCCATCTTCCTGCCCTTATTTAAAATCTTTCCGGAGAGTTGTTTCCTCTAAGATATACGTAGAAACAATATGCCTAAAGAGACTCTTACTTATCCAACCTACTTCCACAGGAAAACATATCACCTCCCTTTCTTACGCACTACCTATTACTGCCCTGCAGCTGCCATCAGCCTTTTCACTTTGACCTACCTCAGGAGAAGTGCTAGTCCTTCCATGACAATGCACAGGGAGCTTGAAGGGGATCTGAGGATGTGCCATGTTGCACAGGTAACAACATGCTTATTTTTTATATTTACAGGTAAGGATCAAGTTCCCTCTATACCAGAGGGATGGAGCTCCTCTTTGAGACCTGTTATCATAATGACAGTTACACCTCCAGACTGAAAGGAAGGGGTAGAAGCTGCTGCTCACTGCCCAGATAACAGCTTGTGTTTGTACAGATCAGCATCCACTGCCTAATTCTAGTAAGACACCATTCATTACATCCACACCCAGACAGTGCCTACAGACCACGACAATGCCTCAGCCAAGGTTGCAAAACACTGCCACAACATAACAAAGCATCAAGTGTGGCAGATGGATAAGAGCAGTAAGCAGGAAGACTCACTGCATGTCAAGCATTTGGTTCATACTGGAAACCCTCAATGCTGAATCTCCATGGTTCACACTTTTACTTGGGCTTACAAAACTTTAAGACATCCCTAAAAAAGATTGTTTCAGGTAGCACATCCACACGTATCAAATGCTGCTTAAACTTAAACGTACTAACTTCACAATCACATCACACAACAGATCATGCCTTAGAGTCACCCATGTGGCTGCTGAAATAGAAGCTGATTTCTCTGACTGAGGAGCATTTGGTATGTCTGTGTGATAGTCCTTCCCCTCCTAGAGGTTGCTTCAATGCCACAAATTAAGTAAAGACAGAATTGATGGAAAAAAACATCCTACTCCCTATGTATTCCACCTCTTCTCCAATACTAAGGGTGGATCTGCTACCTGAAGATCTCACTCTTTGTGAGAAAGCCCTAAAGCACTTGATGCAGAGTAGGGTTAGATTATCTTGTCCAGGGCTATTACTGGCTGCCACTTATATCCACGCAACACAACACGCAGCCTCAGGACTCTACAGATTCATGTGCAAACCAACAAAGTTTACATTTTGAGACTCCAGTTTCAAGAGTATTGTAATTATGAAGCACAGGCATCTTGTTGGGAGTTATCAGGACCAAGTGAAGGGTTGCCATTCTTCTACACTCACAAAAACATCTAGAGCTCACAGCAGAAATGCTTCTATTATACAGGAGGAGGAAGGTCCTGGAACTGTTCATCGCTCTCCATGGACTGTTGGAGTCCAACATCCAGATTAAAAGTAGTTTTTCGAGACAAATTTTATGCTAAGTCTTAGGCTAAGGTTCAAGAGACATTAAAGTCCTTCACAGAGGCCAGATCTTAGTAACATTTTTGAAGCTTAGGAAAAGCATATCAGCATCTTCATGAATGAAGGCTCTAGAGATTGCAATACGGCTGGTTCCTTTTTACTCCACAACCTCTTCTTGCTCCCAGGCTATCGCAAAGTGGGCAAGTGGAGAAAACTTCAGCACTTTCTGCTAACGTTCTCCTTACTAAACACTTCTGTTCATTCTTTTCCCTCCTCTCCCTTCCAGTTAACATTTCGATTCTTGGTCATTAAGCAGATGAGCAAGTGAAAAAGTCTTTCCTAATCATTTTGGCAAAAATAAACAGTGCACCTGGAATAGAGTGAGAGCATGCAGCCTGGAAGTATAAGGCCCAGAATTAACAGAGATGGCTCTAAATGCTGCAATACAGCAAAGCAGACACCTTGCATTGCACACTGACATAACTCACTTCTGAATTAGGGATACATGAAATAATAAGAGGAAAAAAACTGTAAGTGCTCTGTGCCTGACTGCTCGTGTGCTCCATTTTAGACGCACAGGTTTGGGTGGCAGAACCCTTAATGATACAGGAAAGTCTTGGGACTGACACCTCTGCAGAGATGTACGCCAAGAAACAGAGAACTTTCCTTACCAAAGCAGTTTATTTTCATACAACTTACTCCAAACATAAGCCAAATCAAAACAGTAGCACTCACTGAAAAAATGTTTTGAACTCAATAAAATCAGAACACTTAGAAAAGGGTTGAAAATAAAACTGACAATGACAAATACCCTCACAAATTTAGTCAAAAGAGAGAAAACAAAGATCCAAATTTCTCATTAGAGGGATCCAGCAGATTGGTACCAAACGCAATGTCATAAGTTCCTTACTCAGTGCCCGTGTGTGACAGATTAGAAGAGACGAGCAGTATCAGCTAGCCTGGTACGACTGCCCAAATCCAGCAAAGAACAAAAATAATCTTGTAATTCTAGCAGGAAAACACGTTAGTGGGAGAGGGTAACAGAGAGCCTGACATCCTTATTTATCTACATAAAGTTTCTCTAGTGTCAGCATATGCACTGAATAACAAAACCATCCCATGGATGCTGAACTATGCTTGAACCTGTAAAATAGCACCTCTGATGTCTATTTACTTTCATAAAGACTAAAGATACGCAGGAAGCATTCTCTGGTTCATCAGGAGTTTGGTTCAAAATGAGGCTGTAATAACAGCAACATTCATAACCAAGCACTAGAAGAGCTTGCAATGATTCCAGATTCAAGCAGACACAATTATGTCTGCAGAGAAACAGCATAATTGAGAACAGTGCACTGTGCCATCAGGACCTAACTTTATTACTTACTGATGAAATCTACGGCTCTGGAAACAGTGAGAATGATGAAGCTGAAAGCCAGCCAAAGCACGTGGGTGAAGCAGAGAAAAAAAAAGAGAGAAAGAGGGAGAATGATGGCAACTAATGCACAGCAGGGGGAGTAAGAAAAAGATACCTGTAGGCAGCACTAGGTGAGGAGAACTTTTCACTTTCTTCACAGGGATTATTGTAACGGCAGAAATAGAGCGTGTGTATAAAGGGACGTCAACAGCTGCAAACACAAAAGTGTAAATGGCACATCCAAAAGGGAAGAACAGAGTTTGGAATCATGCCACTAAATTTTCTAGTGTACTCAGAGACACAATAGCAGGAAATTTCAAACACAAAAGCAGTCCAGAGAGCAGTGATGCAACCACTAAAAATATCCCTGCGCTTGTCCTAATCCAGGATACGTCTGCTTTAGAGCACGCACAGAACTGCTTACTGAGTCAACTAACTGCTGACCACCACTATGCTGCAGGGGTAACAAACCTGGAAGCATTAGTTTTTACAAGCCATAATTTTTTTTTAGTGTGACCATTCAGATGCGATACACTACATGCAAAAATAAAAATGTTAAGTCAATTTTACAGTGGCTCAGTTAAAGTGAAAAAACAGGCAGAGGTTCAGAGAGAAACACCAAAAACTACCCATACTACAGGAATTCTGGATTTTAGGGCACATTTTATAAGTTCAGCAACAAGACAGTACAGAAATATTAAACAATCCTGAAAAGCAGTTCCACACTGAAGTGTAGCATCAAATATCTGGTCCAGAAAAATAAGACACCTATCAAAGCAGTAAATTAAAGATTTCTCCTGCACACCATTACTTAGCATAGTATTTACAGTATATATATAAAATGTAATGTTACATATAATTACATATATATATACATATATATACATATATACGTATAAATGTAATAAAATTACATATTAAAATAATGTAGGGGAAAATCATAGGTAGCACAGTGCAAAATTCTAGCAGTGGTTACAAAACTCTCCAAAACTGTTGCTACTTCCTTTCCATTTCTTTATTGCTGCTAATGGGGAACCCTATTACAGATGAAAATAAAAAAGGTGAAACTACATATAGGTGATACTCAGTAGGATCTGCCAAGATTAACACCACGCAGTCAAAGCTCCACTAGAGTAATGACACAGTAATAACACAATATAGTGAGTTGTGCTGTTGATTTCTGCAGAGCCAAGATTTTCTCCTTTAGAACCTATTAGATTTCTGCATGGAAATATTAGCCAGAAAGTGGCAGGTGTCCTCTACACTCCACCTCCTTCAGGCCTGAAAAATCAGGAGTAAGAGGAACCACATCCCTAACACTTTTCACACCACCTCTGAGCACTGGGTGAGAGTGAGAGAGGTACTGACCTCAGAGCACCGTGCACATCACCTGGTGGCAGATCCTTCTGGCCCCTGGCAGAACTGGGAAGCAAAGACTTCCATCTGGCAAAGGGCTCTCAAGCAAGAGGCTAGAGGAAGAGCTCAACATATTTTTTCAAACCACAGATAGCTGTTGATTTTTTGGATTTGATTGAATGGATTGAAAGCCATTTGCCTTAGAGCAAACCAAATCAAACTCTGTTCTCCACGCGTCTCCCTGAGCATCCTGAATTCAACAGAGCTCTCAACTCCAAAGAGTCTGCGGTTTAGGAAACAACTCTACGGCTGTTCTGCTTTGCAACCAACTGAATTCAGCCACCCACAATGCAGCCAAAATACTAACCACTATAAAAAGGCATCGAAAGAAAAGAAAGGAAATGAACCCTGCAGACAACCAACCCATACAAGCACATACTTTCACCCTGCCAAAATACACACCATCACTATATAATACTGAATGCTATTTAATGCTTCAAATCTGTTGATGTTAACACGAAGGCTGGTTTGTTCAGATAAATTGGGGCTTAAAACCCTGGTTGCTAATGACACATTTCTTTATTACATAATCAGTTCCAGCTCTTTAATTCTGGCTCAGAACTTCACCTCTCACTGAAGTTAACGGGGTTCACACACAGGCATCCAAAAGTCCATGCTGCTTAAACATATCAAGATACTGATACACAGGTGCTCGCAAGTACTAGAAGTAGTGTACTGCTTTCTTCAAAACAGCACAAAAAATATGCAAAAATGCAAATCCAGCCTGCCACCTTTTGTTGCTTAAAAGACAAAGAGCACTTGTTCAGCTAAAAAATGCTGCTGCTGGCATGCCGCAGCACAAGGCCTTTCTTGTATCAGTCGCCAGGCAAACTAAATTTGGAAACACTGCTGTGGTGCCCAGGGAAACCAACCACATTACTCAGCTGACACACAGGGGGAGCTGCAGAGGTGGCTCTGAAGCTCTCAACCCACCTTTTTCTTGTCCATTGCTGCTCAGCCCATTGACAACAGTTTTTGCAACATCAACTTCTTCACGTTCTGCAAGAAAACCAAGAAGCAGATTACTTTACAAGTATTTGCAACTGAATTTCACATCTGAATATGAGGGCGTGCTGTGGGTCTGAGCTACTTGATTCTGGAGATCGGAAGTATTCCTACCATCTCTAGAAATGTTGCTTGGAGACATAAATCTCCCTTGGATGACACCTAGGTCTCTCTTTGTCCTTTGTGGATTGCAGCCACTTTAAAAGCAGGGACTGTCTCTATACGTATAGATGGCACTCGGCTCAATGCCGTTTTCATTTTTGGAGGGACATGAATACCCTAGCTTGGGAAAAATAAATGCTCTTTGCTACCATGTTAGCCAGATGTGAGTACAAACTCAAAGATAAGAGAGCTGGCCCACACTCCCTAATTTTTCAGCTATGTGCTGTGTTGGCATGAATCAAATTGAGTTTTGTGAGTTTAAAGAAACAAGACAGCACTGGAAAGGATCTCCAATGGTCATCTGAAGCCATGTTCCTGACCCACAACAGGGACATACGTATCTATCTTTGTAATTACTGACATATGTTTGCCTAACAGGTTTTTACAGTATCACCCTAGAGCAGTTTATTCCAGTGCTTTAAAACATCAAAGTTTTTGCAACTTTTAAGTCAAATTCCCAGCTCAAGCTTCTGGTTATTCTTCTGGTATTTCTCTGTACGATCTCCAAATGGTTCTGTTTTTTCTCAAAATGCGGTGCTAAAAACTGGACACAATACTCCAGCTGAGACATGATAAGTGCTAAAATCAAGTGGGGATGTTATTCCATGGGTCCTACATATGGTACTTTAGCATGGTATCTACTTTAATTTTTTCAGTCTTGCCTTATTACCCAGACAAACCCAACACTTGTCCTTTCCCCAACTATCTCCATTTCCTTTACCATCACTTTTCTTTGAAGAGCTAATTTTTCCTATCCAGATGTCAAACTTTGCACTCACCTCCGTTAAAACAGATCTAAGTCTTTCAGAACTCATTCCAGACTACAACAAGCTAAAGTGACCAACTTTGGCTCAAGATGTCAGAGCTTTATAGACCAATTTGAAAGAACAGAAATCTAGCCAGGACACTACTACAAAGCCATTCCACTCTTTCTCCAAAAGTTAGCATCCCTGAGCCTTTCCTCAGAAGGCTGGAGCAACTGTGAAGAGGAGATAAGGGAGTTGGGGTCATTCAGTCTGGAGAAGAGATGGCTCCAGGGAGATCTTATAACACTTAAGGGGAACCAAGAGGAAATCTATGGAAGGACACCTTATCAGGAAGTATAGCGATAATAATGATTTTAAACTGGAAGGGGGTTTAGACTAAGTTTAGACTAGGTATTATAAAGAAATTCTTCCCTATGAGGGTGATGAGACCAGGTTGCCCAGAGAAACTCTGATGTTCAGTCTCTGGAGGTGTTCAAGGCCAGGTTGGATAGGGCTTTGAGCAACCTAGTGTAGGGGAGGTATCCCTGCCAATGGCAGGGGTATTCGAGGGATTTTTAGGTCCCTTCCAACCCAAACCATTCTGCAATGCCAGGGCTTTGCCTGAGAACCAGGATGTAAAAGAGTCAGAAAAAGAAAAAAAGTAATTGGATCAAAAACTACTAGGAATAAGTCCAACAATAGAAAGGTAGGTTAATGAGTACAAGCAGAAAATAACACAGACTTACCAGAGCTCATTGTGGCAGAAGGAATTGCCTTTTTCACTTCTGGATTTTGTTTATCTCTGTTTAAAGTGAAAGGTAGAGTGGTTATTTTGTTTAAAATCTGCTTAGACAGCAGCGTATCTAATGCTGAACAATCATCACAAAAATCAAGGTAAGAACTAAGAACAAGAAACTGAGTTTCAAAATCAAGATGTATTTATGTCAGCAGTTACCATTTTTGTTGGTAATTATCAGAAATTAAATTTTCACATAATATACATACAACTTTCCAACCTAGGGATCATACCAAATAAAGCATGAGAGTTTCTATACAGCACACTACAGATCTGGATAAGCTTCTAATATATGAAAAGCCCATCATCTTTGATTTAAAAAAAGAAAAAATCTTAGTGAGACCATCCATTTTTAAGCTAAAACTCTCAAGCTTAGATCACTGCCATATTTCAAGGTTATCTGCTACTCCTACTAACACCAGCCTCCCTGGTGGAAGATGTTAGAATGAAGAATAAGTATTTGTAGAAATGTTTATTAACTTCTGCACCAACCATTTCCAGTCCTGTTCCTGGTATCATCAGGAACAGGCTGCAACAGGTGAAACTTCAAATTAGAAGCTTTAATGCTCCTGGGATCAAAGGCCATGAAGTTACTAATCTGCGATAAAGAAATCTCCGATTGTGAACAGAGATGAAAAAAATAAATTTTCAGTCATTAAAAACTATGTAGGACAACTGCAGTGCCTATTCCTGGTCAAGACTTGGTACTACAAACAGTTTTCAATGTCACTGCAGATGTTGGTCTGAAAAGAAAAAGAGCAGTATTTCTACAAAACAGTCTATGTTTACCAGGACTTCTTAACTCTCCCGAGGTCTAGGTTGATAAAAACTCTTTAATTTCACGTCTCATTCTCCCTCCCACTTCCCCCCCAAAAATTAGCACTAAATAGAGCATGAGCGATTCCAGCTAATTAAATGCTTTTCAGGGCACAAATAGGAGTAAGTATCACAAATTATGCAATTGTGCATAAACAAACACCCTAATCTGAAGGAATACAACCCCTTCCCTTACTTCCAGGCTGCTTGGAGAAACAAGGTGGCAGAGGAGACATTTTTTGTTTTCTTGTTTTCCTGTTATAAGAAGCAGAGGCAGTAGTGGGACCATCTAAGAGGTGGAAATTGTCTTCAGGGAGTTCAGTTTGCCTCCTTGCCTGAAGCATCCCCATTCTAAAGCAGCATTCATTCCATACCAATCAGAATATAATGAGCATATTTGATAGACAGTCAAAAGGAAAGTAAAGAAAATTAAGCTGGCAAATAAAATAATGGATTCACCTGTAAAACTAGCTGATATCTGGGCTTTCAGGCATGTCACACCAGCAACTGCTGCCAACACTTAGTTATTTTATTCATTAAAATGCCCACAAAAGGTACTTCATTATGGGCCAGAGAAGGCTCGGCAGGGCACAGCCTAACTCCAAACTGATCCCAGAAAAGGAGCAGCAGGCACAAAATAAAGCAACTCAACAAAAGCCGAACACAACCAAAAGGCCTGCCAACACAGCACCCGCTTTTTGTTCCTACTATTTTGTATTAGAAGCAAGAGCCCTGAAATAGTAATGGTTGACAGCCTGAGAATTTGGCCAAATGTATTTATTAATAATGATCTTTCTGATCTCTGTAAGCTTCAATTACAGAAAGTAATTACCTTAGTTGAGGTAAAGGATAAATAAATGAGCTAAAATTACAGATTATCAAGGCAAAGGAAGAAGCAATATCACATTCGTCCAGCTATGGAAAACTATTATCAGTTAAACTTACTGGAAAAATACAAGTTCCTTCATAGAGCAGGGAGAAAACCACTGCAGTTAAGTCTCAATTCAGCTTTAGAAATAAAAACATTGTGAAATTGAGGGAGGCTGCTAGTACCCAGAAGTACTAGCACAACACTGGCCCTCTCCTTGGGATATGTACAGGTCAATAGGACGTTTCCTCTACACTGAGTATCCCCAAAAGGTTGCATGTCTTCCTCTGCTATTTAAGATTTTTAAAAGGCCCAACAAACTCCAGCATGCTACCCTTCTGGCAGGATACACTAAGCTCACACACCTGGCAAAGGCCAGGTTCTCAGCAATATGGTGGTAGAGCACATTTCTCAGTAGCAGTATCTGAGCAAGTACTTCTCTGACCCCGTGCCTTACTCATTTTGAAGCGTCTCTTCTCCACTTAGAATGTGACATCATACCTGCCAGGAAACTGATTTCAATGGTTTCTTTTGTATTTGAGAGTCATGACACTGCTTACAGAATAAAGCACTTTCTCCACCGTGCTAAGAAAGGCATTTTGCAAAGAACTCACACAAAAAAAAGCTCAATTATTTGGCCTTAAAAGAACAAATTACTTTTCCACAAGAAGCGATTTGAGATCAGAAACTCAGTTGTAATTAAAGGAATAAGTTTCCTAAATTAAATGAAGGTGGTGTACAAACTCATTAGAACTAGATCTAGAAAAACGACTACACCCATATACTCACACTTAGTTGCAATTACAGAATCCAATTAAAACAACAACCATTCAGCGTTCATTAACCGTGAAACTAACCAGTATTATTCAAGCACTCATGAACATACACTTAATATAGGTTCCCATAAAAAGAATGGGTTTGGAGTGCTGAGGGTTAATGTATGCAATCTAGAGCACTTCAACTACTGTAACTCTGGAGGTTCCATTTTAAAGTTGATTTAGGTCATTTGAGGGTCTGTGTGCAGACTCACTGCAGCCTGGTACAAAAACAATCTGCTGCTTAGATTGAGAAAATTACAGAGTATGTTTGAAGTTGAGAATGTGCCTCGGTGCCTTTTGCACCCTGTTTCCCATAGGCTTCACCTAAACCATTCACTGAAGTCCTGTTACGCTTGTATTTTGTGTAGTCTAAGGTTGTTCGCAGGGCCAGATTCTGTTTAGTCCAACAGCACACCTAGCCTGGTGCCCCCTGCATTACCCTCTGTAACATTTGGGAAGATATGTGCTATAAGTCAGCACACTGTCTGTGTTTGCGAGAGCATCCTCAGGCAGAGCAGCCCTGCCAGATTGGTTAGACAAGCTGCACATGGGCTGCAGAGGCAGGTGGATCTGGGAACATCTGCTGCTCTCAGTTCCTCCTTCCTGTAGAAATGATCACACAGACCCCACAGACATGTGCAGAACACACAGTCATACTTCAGGACTGAATCTTTTGAAGAAAATTAAAGGTTGGATCCCTTGTGCCAGTCTTAGAAACTGAAAAACAGTACCACCAAATCAGGCAAAACAAAAACCAATCTCCCACACAAAACTACCACAGTTGTCTCCTAGGTCCCTGCTGTAAGGAGCAGACCACTGTCTCCTTGCCAGGTCTGAATTTATGCCTTTCCTGAAATATGACAGACATAGCAACAAAGCTGCAGACATTCAAAACACAATGAAAGGTGATGAATTCCTAAGGGTATAAGCCAGCAGTTGTAATGCTGAAGATGCCAACGCCTGTATGTAACGTCCAGCAGCTCCTTGCCAGCTCTGTACCTCTAGACGGGTGTTCAGCACTCCTTCCTCCCTCTCACCCCTAGCACATCTCTCCCAGGGCCGCAGCTCCTTCCCTACTTGGTGTGGAAACGGAGCACAGTGGATTTAGAGCCCTATTTAGGAGGAATGCAGATAAGTAGTGACTACTGCTGCGCAGCATGTCTCTGGATTATCTCACATGCTCTAAACATTCAAGTGCTCCCCCTGCAACGGTCAGGGTAACAAACAGCTCATTAATTGTCCCGAGTAAGGACGCACGCTCTGCAGTCACTGGTATCTCTGCCGGGAGTCGTGGGTGGTGGTTATTTTTGGTGGTCTAATGTACGTGTGGGGAAAAGTCATTTCCTCTGGTTTCTTCTCTTGCTGTTACTGATAGCCCCGATGACTTACTTAGAATTTAAGAGCTGTTGCTAATCATAAGCATTCAAAACTCATCAGGCAGGCCTTAAATTCATTACTCAGATTCCCCGCTTTAGCTCCTCAGTTCTGAGCTTTCACATTTGCAAAAGTGTTTCTTCACACACAAGATCGTTGAGTGTTTTGTAGCATGCAAATGAAAAATCAAAGTCTTGTTTATATAATAGTCTAGCTATTAAGGCTTTTAGAAGAAAATTGGAGATTTTTAGATTTAAGAGATGATGAGCATTCACAAACGCTGTTTTTCACTTGATCAGCCCTTGAACATTACTCTGGCACCCACTTGTTTAGCCCTTGGCTCAGCCCCTCTCTCAATGCCACCAGTGTTCCTGCCTCAGATGCTCCACTCAGCCAGCAGGGCCACCACCATGTGATCCCAGTGATCCCAGAGCTGGACAGGGGGCAAAGGGCTGCACTGCTGCCAGCGTCTGCTACTAAGAGGTTCCTCTGCTTAAAGCAAGCCACTGGAGAACACAGCTGTACTTCTCATGCTGTACCACATAAAAGGGAGCAAGAGAAAGTAGCTTGGGAATATAAGAGGCACAGCTCTGGGTTAATCCAGTCAATCAGCTCTCTTCTCCAAGTATCATTACTCTCTTACCCTGAAATACTGACGGAAATATGTTGCCTGTCAGTTTTATTTTAAGGGTTAAAGAATGTCCTGTTATTCCATCAGAAGACATGATGCTCCTAAGAATAAATGTCAGGAAAGGACTGTGAAGAATCATAGAATGGCCTGGATTGAAAAGGACCATAATGATCATCTAGTTTCAGACCTCCTGCCATGGGCAGGGTTGCCAACCACCAGTGCCCAGAGCCACATCCAGCCTGGAGTCCTACCAGCTCCAAGCAGCCTCCTCCCCGCACACACTTCAGCAAAGGTTCAGACAGCACTGAGCAATGAGGGCTCAGCTAAATTCAACAAATGACAGCGCTGCACACAAGCTGGAATAGCATGTCCTTTTAAATAATTGAGCTTACAGCTGTTGGAACAAACATAGCACACTGCATATACAGTACTGTTGTCTTTTTTATTTTTTAAATATGGTGCATGTTTGCTTCCTTTCTAATGAGCTTATCTGGGGTAT